TAATTCAAGGTTGCATCTACTCTGTAACTCAGCTAGTCCCTCAATCGTTGAACTGGACAACGAAATAGCATGCACTAAATGAACCAAAGTTCCATCATATTTCCCTACCTTCACCTTCCAATCCTGAACATTTTATACCCCCATTTTCCACCCTCGCTTCCATCTTTTCGAATTCATTCACCTCCTTTATCGTCTACCCCTGCCTCTTTACGCGAACTTAGTCTTGCATTCGCTTCCCCTTCTTCCTTTCCACTTATCCTCCCTCACTTTCTTCCTCCCCACCTAATTTCCTTCCCCATTTCTCCTCCCCCATCTTCTCCTCGCCCTTTCACATAACCCGCACACCCCTCAAACCAAAAAAAGAAACCTCCCTCTAACTCACCAACCAAACACAAACATGTCAATACACCAAAGCCCGCCACAAATCACAATAACACTATAATATCAAAGTATTTATGCTTAGAGAACTACTTCCACTAAAAAAATCCCAGCTCAAAAAAGACACGATATGAGAATCTAGGAGAATAGAAAGTAAAGATCTATATTCCTCGCCGAATATACTTATCTATTCTCACAGCAACACACAACAATACAACAAAAACATTCTCATCCGCTTTCGTCACCCTCTTCTCTTCTGATCATTCATCATTCATCATTCATCATTCATCATTCATCATTCATCAGTCATCAGTCATCAGTCATCATTCATCATTCATCATTCATCATTCATCATTCATCATTCATCAATTCTTCATTTCATCATTCATCATTCATGCATTTCATCAGTTCCATCATTTCATCAGTTCATCATTTCATCGTTCATCATTCATCATTCCATCATTCAACCATTCATCGGGTCAGCCATTCATCATTCATCATTCATCATTTCATCATTTGAGGGGTGCCATCAATTCATCATTCATCATTCATCATTCATCATTCATCATTCATCATTCATCATTCATCATTCATCATTCATCATTCATCATTCATCATTCATCATTCATCATTCATCATTCATCATTCATCATTCATCATTCATCAACCATCATTCATCATTCATCATTCATCAACCATCAACCATCAACCATCAACCATCAACCATCAACCATCAACCATCAACCACCAAACAACAAACAAGCTAAGATATATATGACTTGACATAAAGAAAAGACTAGCTGATAGGGGATATATATGCCTCGCAATTTATCCAGGATTGTAAAAATTTGTCTTGAGATTCTATCTATATACCAGTATTAGCCTCTTAATTCCTGTACTGTCTATATAGCCTATCCAATGTATTCTATTCTAATCTAGTCTAATTTAATACACCCAAATCAAATCTATTCTATTTCCCAATTATATACCAACAAAGCCTCCTTTGCATGCTTCCCTCCCATAGCCACCACTAAACAACACTACAACAAATCCCTATATTTCCCCAACGCGGGTTCCCGACTCCCGGAAAACTCCTGATGCAAACCCTCCATCGCAGCAAAATGTTCTGCATACTGTAAACCCCTCTTATTTTCCCCTTCAACCCTCTTCCAATCCCATTGATTCGCCTCATTCTCTACTTCCTTAACCTCATCCTCCTCCTCAACCTTAGCATCCACAAAGCTCTCTTCCATTTCCGGTGTCGACGCCCCGGAATTATCCATACTATGCCAACCGCCCGGCCTCTCAGGCAATAACCCACTAGCATTCAACACCACCTCGGGATGAACGGTTAATCTTCCCAATTTCATGACATACTTGCTAACCGCGCTCGCAAAAATTGCCTTCTCATCCAACTCAATATCCTTCTGATCCGCTTTTCCCTCACCCTCACCCTCCACCTCCTCAAACTTCGCATTCCGGCCTCCAAACCACGACCCATCACTTAAAACAAACCCCCTTGGTCTAACAGTCCCCTTCTTCACAAAATGCGTAACGACATAAATCCACTTTCGATCCCAACACAGAATCCGACTCCACATTTCATATTGTTGATAAATGCCTATTTCCCGTTTGAAATTACACATTACGCCACCGAGCATAATGCCCCAACGACCTTTTACCGCATTTCCTTCTTTATCGAGAACGAGTTTATTCGAAGTGTTTTTTTGGAGGGCATGGATACCAGGTTCTAGGAGACAACAGATGATATGGGATCGAGTGACGTCGAGGTCCGAGAAATATGTGCTGTTAGACTTGTGGAGGTTGTAGTCGCATTCCCAGAGGGGAGCGTGGGATGTGGTTATTGTGGGGAGGAAGAGTGATGCCGGGCCGAGATTGGAAGGGATATTGGGGGTGGTGAAAATGAGATGTTTGAGAATTGCGTTCCAGACTCGGAACTGGATTGTTATTAGTTTTTGTGCCTTGTCTTTTATGGATAAGTGACAGAAGGGGAAAAGGAAGGGAAAAGAAAGAAGACATACATGCCAAACTCCTGGTAAACTTTTCAAATTAGCTAAAACAATCACCGTAGCAGCGATTCTCGAATAACTCCCTGGACCTGTAAACGTATCGACAAGTAATTTATGTATATTGACATGAGAGACGCCCGCAGCCGCCACTACAGCCGTAGTAAAAATGATAGATTTGAGAGGGAGACGAGTAGCAGAAGCCATTGTTAAGGAGGTGAGACTGCGAGCTTGCGAGTCTGCGGCTTCACAAACTGGCAAATCTATGTAATGAGATGATCAATTAACCAGACAAGAAGAACCCGCACAAGAATTGCACAAACACACCAGAATGCAGAAAAAGACAGCAAGTATCTAATGAATGAAGTAAATAACAAACTATAATAGAAGTCCAAATCTCAAATCTAAAGAATCTCACTTGAACAGAATACCAAATAAATTATCGAACAGTCAACCGAGGCACGGAGAAACCATATCTCCGACCCAACGACCAGTGAACTCACATAAAAATCATCTCAACAAAAAAACAGAAGAGAAGAAAAGAGAAAAAAGCCCCTCCAAGTCCAAAGAAAACGAAATACCAGTAAATCAAATCTCTACATTCTTTCAAGAACAATGCCGAGGTAATTTCCGATCATCTATAATTAGGGATTTTCTAGATTTTCCAAAATCCATCTAGCCAAGCTTTTCCGGGTATGCTGGTCGGTCCTCTAGTATGCCCAGCTGAATGGTTAAAGATGTCAGGGTCAGACAGCGCACCAATACTTTGGGATTCCGTAAATCCGCTCAGGTAGTATTGTAAGATTACTAAGTCGGTACATTTCCGAAGTTTTTGCAGATCAGATCGTCGATTTTAGGTAGTAAAATTGCTTTTTTATTTGATTTACAGGGTCCTCGGTAGATTTTGTTCGAGCACAGTACTACGTACTTCTAGATATGCTAATGTAAGATTACTGTACGTGATGGAGTTGTAGATAGGTGTTTAGTTTTAATTTCTTTTAATATTCGCTAAATATTCTACATATGGTAATTTCTATACATACCTATGGAAGGAAGTTTTCCTCTCAAGTTCCCTACCAGGTGTTTTGTACCTTAACCTTACTAGTACCTAATTCCCAAAGTTCAAAATCCCTAATCCGTTTTATACATCTTTCCCATCCCACCTATATCCCATAAGTATACATTTCCCTATTTTATACAAAGACCGCTGATGCCGATACAAAAATCACTCCGTTACCAAAGGTATCAATCGTAAAATCATTAGAACTCTCTTCCTTCTACCCAGTTATCTCGTCCATCCCTCATGCTCATCACTATCATCCAGGAGAAAATTCCGATGTGGCATGGAACCGAGATCTCCATGAAACATGGTATTCCCCGCAGTCGAATTTCCGGCTGAATCCCCCTCCTTTAGATATGCATTATCCGTCCACCTTTGTTCCAACGCCAATCCGATTTCCAAATCATTTTGTCTCGCCCACGCTTCCCCTGCATCACGTTCCTCCTTGGGTATCACGGATCGGAATTCGTTTCTAGCTGATGCTGGATGACTGAAATTGAAACTACCGGTTGTGGGACTCAAAGTGCGTGTATGAGTGTGTACTGATGATCCTGGTCTGCTTTTCCCAGTTTGCGCCGTGTATGTCGTGTATTGTGTCCCGATAGATGTCCGTTGGTCAAATAACATGCCCCGCGTTTTGGCTTCTACTACTGCTTGTTCTTCCGGCGTGAGCGCGAGGACTTTGGTGGACACGCTAGGCAATCTTTGAAATTCGGTGCCCTGTTCCTCATTTCCGGATGCCATCACGCCTCTTCTTTTGCTTTTGGGGAATTTTGTACGACGACCACATACGCTAACGACTAAATCTTTATATTGTCTGGGAGATTTGTTGGTTCCGAACACGAGAAATACTAAGAATGATGTCGTAACTCCAGGTATAAAGAGGACAATATCAATGATGCAACTGGAGACAGAGAAGTCGGGAGATGATGATTTCGCAAGCTTTTGAAAATTTTGTGAGGAGTATAAGGAAAAAATGATTAATACGACTTCAAGGGCCCTTTAAAAAAATTATCAGCTTTCTCTATCACTCAAATATTGAGCTACCAAGAAACTCACAGAAGAATAACGAAACCAATGGTAAACCGAGTGATAAGTGCACGATCGTAAAGAGACCGGCGACTTGCTTTGCAATTATCATTGCCACTCCCATTTACAGTGCAGGTGCCCGTTGTGTCAGTCGCTGTCGCTGCACCACTCGAGCCCCACCAACCGTTACGTTTATCGTGGGCAAATAGGAGTCGCCGTGTTTTGATATATTTGTAGAGAATGAGAATCATGAGGATACTGCCAATCGACAAGCTTACGAGCACTAAATCGCGAAGTCAGCTCAAGTTCCGAACATACGCCTACCATAATCATAAAATGATTGGCTAATAATAACTTACTTGTGAAGTTAGTTAGAATAAAAGTTGCCCTAGGGCTTTTCAGCACAACTGGAGCTTTTCCTAAGCCTACAAGAATGCCCGGCATGATGACTGCGAATATCTTGGAGAGAAAGGATATGTTTTCTCGCAGCCAGCTACCAAGGAAGTTGGCGCGGATTTCCCAGGAACCACAGAAGAGTTTGACAGCCCTGACTATTGTTAGATTCCAATAGTTTAATCATTTGAACTCGAACCGACTTACCAAAACAGCACCATCAGAGCCATGACATTATAAGAATAAAATTCTGTGTCAAGAGATTAGCAAGCGTCAAATCGGCAAGATTGCAATGGGAACTTACGAATTGTAAATAGTATAAGATCGACTTCATTCCCTACACCCGAAAGACCCAAAGCTGGCAATTCTACAGCTTTTAATGCCGTCTCATAATCATCTTGTTTAACAAGGAGCCAATCACGGTTGTAATGTATCTGCTGTGCGATGGAACCAAGTGTGCTCAATGCAGAGAACTCGGCAAGAAATGTTACGTCTGTTTTTGTTAGATACAATAGCGTAAACTGGAGAAATCAAACTTACATGTCCATCGTTCACCATAAGTCCAAAGCATACATATGAGTAAGGTGACCAAGATTAGGCATAGGAATGAGTATACCAGGACGGCAGCAGAGGCACCTATGGCCTCCTGCGGAATCCCGGTGCCCATTCAGTACTTATAGAAGGATAGTGATATTACGACTTGCATTTAAGTCAACATGCAGACGAATTCATGCCTATAGAATATACAGGCAATAATCTATTGGTGCCGAAAGAAAAGAAGAAAAAAGATCAAACGGAACAGAAAATATGCCTCACTCGAGAGTTCTGGACCTTAGATATGACCCGCGTAAAATTGTGTAACAGTTGTAGAACAACATCCCCAGGCCAAAAGATGAATAAAACTTTATAATCCCTGCGAGTTCACTACTCCAAGAAGAAGACATGGGGTTTATTCGTCCCAATATTCTCCTTTCTTCCGCATCGAAGATCCCGGCTCTTGGGTTCTACACTATTTATTTGTAACTTCTTTATCCTAGTACCCAAGGATCTCATCATCTCGCGGGTCACTAGAGCATCCCATGTTCTATGTAGAAAAACGTGAGTAACAGGGATGGCACGAAGATGGAGTGGAACTGTGGAATACCATGAACATGGAAAGGAAACGAAGGAGACGGGGAATTGGGCTATCAGAGCTTAGAAGAGCTAAAGAGACATCGTAATCTATCAGCCGCAAACTTTACCGAAAGGATGAATGGATCATCTACTAAGTAGGGTTTCGCGTAAGGGTAAGAAAACGTGTAAATTGAGTCTCGATCACCATCTACATCTGATGTGTTTGAAAAAAGGCGCTTGCCCGGATGGTTCTTCTAGTGACGCATTGCTTAGTGAGCCAATGACACGAATTCTTCTGTGCGTAAGTTTGAAGAAACTTGTACGGGTATTTCAGACTTCCACAATAGTTCCTTACTAATGTCGGCAATTGTGATGAAAGATACTATTATAGAGTAGAAGACAGTTGCAAGGCTATAAGTCTGTGTGTCATAAATAGTCGCAACGTTAAAAGTCTTGATACTCCACCAGCCAAAGAGAACGGATAAGATAGGAAGTAGCTTACGTGCGAGATGGATTTTAGGAAAGAAGCTCCGTGTTGCTGGTTTCTTATCAACCGTAACTTTGTCATCGAACTATATTAAAGACTGTTCGCAGTGTATGTATACTTATCTTTGGTCATGCATAAAGTGTATTGTAAGCGATTGGGAACAACCTTCTTATTAATGCTTGTGAGTTATGCATGCTAGAGGATGTCCACCTTTAGTAGGTAGTTTGTAATTAGCTCAGATACCACTGCGAGACATATTAACTTCTTCTAGCACAGCAACACTTGTAAACTGGCCTAGTCCCCTCTTGTCTCGTTTGAACTTTCTAAAGATTTGACTGGCCAAGCGCGCCAGGACACAACATTGTCAAGGCCTTACTCCATTTCGAGAAGCCCAACTTTGCCTCAATGGAGCTCTCGTGACGAGTACTTATGGCGTCAGGCGGAATGTAAGCATCATATTCTGTTGTTTTAATATTGAGTTATAATCCTTTCTAGCAAGTGGATATCTTTCCCAAATTATCTTTACGGGCCAAGTTACCAAGACCTACTCGTGCTATGAAACTCCGAGGCTAAAAAAATTAGATTATTCCTCTTATGGTTTACCATCTTATGGAACGTGCTTCTAGCTCCGGAGTTGCATACTTTCTGGCCGCACGAGTGCCATGAATTTTCATGGTGGAGAAGATACGCGAAGAGATCAAGGAAGATCTTTTGTTGGCCCATTGGTACCGGCGAGTAAAGCATATTTATCTAGGAGGTACCTAAATAGTTCAGCTCGGGTTAGAAATGCCTGAACGCTAATAAAACAACAACAAAACCGGAAATTTACGTAATGAATGGCACGACTCTTGCGAGCCGCAACACGAATCTCTGAGGTTGGGACGACCCTGTTAGAGCGGGAAGATACCCACAGTGTGCCTGTTCAATAAGCTGAGCCATGGGTTACCGGCCATGTTCCGTTATTCTGTGAACTTAGTTGTAGGTTCCGCTTTGCAGCGCCGTGTTGATGTTTCAAGCAGCTCAAATCGGATTGAAGTCGGCTTCAGATGAGCATCTGCCATCTGGTAACATTCAAAAGACAAGAAAAAGGTTGGATTTGAAATGAGGATTTCTTCGGGACCGTAAGATTACCGGTGAGTGAGCTACCAATGCGGAGAAACATACTCCGCCACATCCAAACAGCTCTTCTTGACGTTGTCCCAGCTGATTTTGAACTTTCTTATCGCGGCTGCATCATCAACCACTGCGACACAACTGTATTCCATAAACCAAATCTGATTTTGAAGTTCAAAAAGACAGTCAAACGTTTGAAACGGACAAGTAGATGGATTAAAGCCCGATCACCTTAATATTCGAAGTAAGGGAAATACCGTTGCAGATCCCAATACTCAGCCTCGCGCGACGGAAACACAATGTTGGTTCCGCGCTAAACCTTAACGAGTGGTGCGTGAGTCGCTTTGAAACGAATTTCGTAGCCGCATTCACAGCCTTCTCGATTGTCCCGCTTTCACTTCGACAATTATTTATTGCAGGAGTGTTGGAGACCAAATAACGTTCCCGAGGTCGTTATGCAATCTCTCATTTGGGCCTCTGCTATACCATTGTATATTACACATTCTTCCTCTACAATACCTTACTTGATAAATGTACCTCGAGTCTCTTACTTGGCGCTTCTTTTCCCACGATTAACATCTTTCTTTGGAGAAAATGTCAGTAGTTTCTCCTATGAAGGGATTCTACTGAAGAATCTCCCAGTTGGTTTACTTTGCGATTTGTATCAACCAGAACTACCATGGAGGATAGAACTAGGGGATGGTCCATTATTTGATATCCATGATACCTTTATCAATAGCGTTAAAGAAGTGCCTACTACACCCAAGGTCATAACAGTCTCAGCCTCGTTATACTAACGTTAGACTCTTAGGCCGATTTCATGCGCAATGGAAATGCAAAAGGAATTATGAGCATGTCAAAAGAACATTCGACACAATTGTGGAACTCGGTGCAAGATAGTATGATCCCTTACTCATCAATCTTCACACATAATGACCATGTGCTAATCTTTGACACCTTTAGATGATTTCTCCACCTACCACAAGATCTCCACTATCCTCCTCAATCCTGCTACTGCCCTGAAGCACATACCGTTACGTATATATCTTCCCTCGTCCTCAACCCCATCTTCAACCCCTCATCCGGGTTCCTCGGGTTCATCAAAAGCTCCTAGTACCGCTTCTCCACCTTCACCACTCTTCACCTTCAAAACAATACAAACTCTCATACAACCGCAAACCACCTCCCGAGAACCTCAAACATTAGGAGGGGCTCTTAATAGCGTCCTTCCGACATTATTCCCCAGTAAAAGAGATGCTATTTTGGCAGAGGTAATCTTACACGGGGCAACAGTTCCTTTCAAAGCGGTATTGGAGGATTTAATGAGGGAAGCAAGTTATGCTGATGGATGGTTAAATGTGTGTGTCGTTATGCTTAATTGATAATGGAGGTAAATGATCGTGACGATTGTGATGACTTTATAAGTGGGACAGAATGGCGTTTTTGAGAGTTTGGCATTTCAATCAAGGAGGGTGACCGAGTTTAGCAATCCCAAACACGTCTTGGACAATTGATGAGGACGATATAATCTTTCTGATTGAGACAAGGGTTCTTGGCTAAAGCGACCACATGTTTGATACTATTTTGATAATGTATGCAGTGCACAATTCCATAGACTCCCTGGAGCTAGGTCATGGTTTAGACTTTGTAAGACTTAGTAATGAGATCATACCAAACACTCTCTACGCTTTCAATCACTCAGTAATACACGAAGCACGAAGTTCATGTGCTTATATCGACTCAAACATTTATCCCATTTTATCTTCAAACTTTCATTATGTTGACATTTTTCTGAGAAGCGAGATCTAATAGCCGTTTTTTTTTCTTCCGTGACATCGTCAAGTGGGCAATCGGAAGGGTTTAAATACTGGTCATTGTCTTGAACCTCATAAAGTCGGATCCATATAAAATCAAGCTAGTACTCTAGCTACGTTGATATCGGCAATGATATACTAGCTTCACATTGCCATGATATGTTTATTCAAAGTAGAGTAGAATAGTTTCCCTCAATAGTTCCCGCTCACCCACTGGATCTCTACATGACGAAAGAACCGCACTTAAAATGTATCCACACCACAAACCATCGTCATTGTCAATATTATCATATCTCATTAATAAAAAACATAAAATTACATCACTGACAATTAGAATCCAAGAGCATATCCTCGGATTCACAGACACAGACCACTCAGTATGGCCAGTACCAAAATCGATCACAATCACACCATTACACCAACAAGTGATCATACCCACACCATCATCTTCCTCCACGGCCGTGATAGTAAAGCGGAGGAGTTTGCCTCTGAATTATTTGAGAGTCAAGTTTCAGACGGCCGCACATTCGCAGAAATACTTCCCAGCTTTAAATGGGTATTTCCTTCATCGAAAATGAGATTGTCTGCTCGGTTCGGAATTGAAATGTCTCAATGGTTCGATATGTGGTCTGTCGAAGAACCACAACAACGCAAGGAACTACAGATCAATGGTCTTATTGAGAGTATCGAACAGATTGTTAATGTCATCAAAAACGAAGCTGGTCATATTCCTAAGGAGTGCATCTTTTTAGCGGGAATCAGTCAAGGTTGTGTCACGGCCTTTCTTACCCTTCTCTTAAACCCTATGCGCTTAGCAGGATTCATAGGCTTGTCAAGCTGGCTAGCATTTGAGGAAGAAATCATGTCTCTTGCAACAAGCTTGAAAGCGGGAGATGAGGAGGGCATGAGATCGTTTAAAGCAATTCAAATGAAGTTGTCCCCGGACGCTACGTTGAATAGGGAGATTACACCAATACGTTCCACACCGGTGTTTTTGTCTCATTCAAAGAATGATGACGTGGTTCCTGAATCTAATGGAAAGACGCTGTATAGAGTGCTTCGTGCACTTGGGATGAAAGTCACGAGAAAGATATATGAAGATGGAAGTCATTGGATTAACGAGCCTCAAGGGGTGGACGATATTGTGGCATTTATTCGAACTTTACTCTAATCTAACATTAAGGCGGGCATATTTCTGTTGTCTTATCTCATCGTACAATGAAGTCTTATTCGGGTTTTGGGCATTCGAGAAACATACTTTCAATCTGAGAGGATGGGAAAGAGCCAGAGTCCAGATTTTGGTAGGCTCCCAGCTGGCCCTCTCTCGATAGCTCTTGCTATTTCCACGCGCATCTTGTTGATTCCATCCTCTTTCTCACTTTGATCTTCAACTCAACTCCACAACTATCCCTTTGTCAAAGCAAACATCCCTTCTTGAATTTACACATATACATAACTCCCAGTTGAGATTTTAATCCGGTACAACACAGATAACATCGGTATGATATTGAGCAGTCTGAATCAATCATTGAAGATTAATCCTAACAATTTGCAGCTTTACTAAATATTCATTCAGTGCTCTTTCTACTCGCACTTACATAATATTATTCATTCATATACAAATATCCACCGTATCATGGAGGACCACATAGTTGCTCCCACCATTCCTCACACGCATACCGTGGTCTTCCTACACGATCGCCACAAGCTAGCTATAGATTGCGCTGCACTTCTCCTTGAAGCTCGAGTTGAGAATGGACTTACATTATCGCAACTATTCCCTTCTATCAAATGGGTATTTCCACAGGCGGCGGATCGGTATTCGGAACGTTTTGACTGCGATTTATCTCAGTGGTTTGATATATGGAGTATAAAATCTCCACATGATATGGAAGAGATTCAGGAAGAAGGATTGAATGAAAGTTTTGAACGGATATTGGGAGTTATAGATAGAGAGGTAGTTTGGTTTCTCTCCTGCATATATTGACACTTCCCAATTTCTAGTTTCAGTTTGGACTTTTATCTTCCTCGTACGACTGCTAACAATACAAAAGGTGAAACTTGTAGATTCGTATCAACATGTCATTCTTGGTGGGCATGGTATGGGATGCGCTGTTGGAATATTAGCTTTGTTTCAAGGACTCCATAAACTAGGAGGTTTCATGGGAATATCCGGCTGGCTTCCATTTTGTAGGGATCTCATGTCACTATGTCCAATACCCAGTCAGTGGAAGGCAACTGCATTGAGTAATTTCAAGCAGCGCTTCTATTATACGAGGTGTGAGGATGGCGATGGTTCGATGATATTCGATGGATGGCAGATACCAATTATATTGGTGCATGCTATGGATGATGATGTGGTTCCGCTCGCCATCGGACGTCAGATGCGTCAGACTCTCTCGGGGATTTTTAGAAGGTCGGATTTTCCTACGATGGATATCCAGATGCATGTTCATCCCAACGGGGGACATTTGTTTAATGGGTCAATGGGAGTTGTAAGTCTTTGGAGGTTTATTAAACGGGTTACGGGGGTTGGAGAAGAGTCGAAGGAGGGGGAAAGTGGGGAGGGGAAAAACGACGGGGAAAATAATGAGGGGGATAATAAGAATAAGGGGAACAAGAACGAGCACAACGAGAATGGGGAAAATAAAGATGAAGACAAAAAATCCGAGGAAAATAAAGAGAAGTAGTCAAAAGATGAAGCATGAAGAGATACATAGCCATAAGTATTTCTCATAATCCTAACACAGTTTAACAACACAATACAATACATTCATTTGATACATTCACATTCACATTTACACTTATATTATCTAATAAACTTAGCTTTATATAAAACATCAAAAAATCCCGAGTATCCTAACTATATTACCTTACCTGAATAGATCCAACCAATTTATAATTATAATTTTTCACACCTATAGAATTTCATTATTTGATTTGAAAGATCAGATTATTTTCTTATACTCCTTATGTGACGGAAAAGTCGTAAACGGAGTCAATTCAATCACTTAGAATCTAAAACTAAAGAACTAAGAAGATTCTAAGTAAGAAGGTCTTTATATAAAGGGCTAGTGCACGTGAGCCACTAGTGGGTAACAACCGTCACGTAACACCTTATATTATTAAATAATATATACCCTCACTTCAACTTGTTCTTTGAATTATTATAAATACTTTTTATAAATTGAGATGAGATTGATTGATCGATTAATTGATTAATGTTACGAGGTTTGCCGTCTAGATCACGTGGAAGTGCTCTAGGCTCTCGAAGTAGGTTTATAACTAGGCGTCAAGCAGGGACTTGAAGTAATGACAATAATGATATGCAATTCGTAACTAATAGTAGAGTATACTAAATGATTGATCTTGAGCACGAAGCTCTATACAAAAGAAATCCATCTTGATTATATAGTCCTTCGTGCCTATGGTTAACTAGGAATCGTCGTTCCTGGGAACGAGCGTTCCTGGTTGTTCCTAGGAACGTTCGTTCCTCACCGTTCCATCACATGTTTTATGGTCATGTGACATACTAATCGTTTTGGACGTAACAATTAATTTGATATGATTTTTGTTTATTTTTTATTTTTTATTTAAAATTAGTGAAGCTTTTTGATTTTTTTGATTTAGTATTTTTTAGATTTAATATTTTTTAAATTTAGTATCTTTTAGATTTAGCATTTTTTAGATTTAGTATTTTTTAGATTTAGCATTTTATAAATAAGTAGATAGGCAGATAAATGAATGTAATAAAATATAATCTTGAAGTTGTGATAGATGATAGAGGTAGTGTCACACTCAAGAATACTGGGTAAAGTATCTTGTATTAGAAAATACTAAGCTAAGGAGAAAAGAAGAAGGAAAACAAGAGTAGAGAGTTTTCCTGTGATTAAATACAAACGGGGCATGCCACGTGACCCGGAGGTGTGAGGCGTCACAGGTAGGATTTTATTAATTATAAGGAGTAGAGGGGGTAGAGGGGTTCTAGCTAAATATAGAAAGATGGGTTGTTTGGGGGTGTGGATTGGATTATGGGTTTGTGATGTGATGTTGATGGTGGAAGATGAGGGAGGGAGGAGGTAGGGGAGGAGGGAGGAAGGTGGGAAATAGGTGGATAGGGATATGGAGTTAATATGGATATGGATATGGACATGGATAAATGAATTAGCCGCGTAAATAGTTGATGAAAAAATGGGAAGGAGGAATCAATATCGATGTCGAATTAAGATTATCATTAGATTAAGACTAAGATAAGATTGTTTAAGCGCTGGTAAGTTTTAAGGTACTCCTTAAGGATGGGGAATTACTTGGGCGTATCTGTACCTCCACTTTTGCATTGTGGAGTGGGATATGCGATGTGCAATATGAAGGTGGGTTGTAGAGATGTAATGTGTCGGATATCTCGTATAAAATCTACCTAAAGATGCACAAAGTGTTGCATTGACGGCATGCATATCCTTCTCGAAAGGCTCGGGAGGCTATGAATGGATTTTCCAAGTGTAAGTGGTTATACAGAGTAGATCTGCAATATCTGCAGTATCATCTCTCATCTCTCATCGTACAATATATGAAACAAACAACCAACCAACGAACCGGAAAACTCGTCAAGATCTTCAAAGCACCAGATTGATCATTTGACGAAGGAATGTACGGAATAAAACCTAGATATGTATAGAAGCCTGTAAAAGAATGAATAGAATAATCTTCACGAAATGGAATCAAAAATCGATGGAATGAATAGAATCGTCATAATACTACGAGTGGCAATTCTATATTTGGTATATAGGATAGAAGATACGAGATTGAGATATATATGCAGAATTCATTATTGTATTTTACGTATATGCAATGCAATGTAGTATTTTTTTTCTATGCTGTGCAACGTTTCTTTATTGTATTTGCTGTGGTGGGTGTTGTTGTTGTTGTCTGTTGGTGTTAGTTCTGATATCAAAGGATAATGAATATTAATATCAATACGAGTAAATAGTATAAAAGTTAATTTCTTGTATCCAATCATATAATCAATACCCTCTTAAGATTTACAATCAATCTCATCATCTCAGAAGTATCACCAAAAATGAATGAAGTCAGAAATCATCATCAATGACGAAATGTGTAAGACTTCCTAGGTACCGCGTTTACCGTACTAACGGGTAGAAATGTAACTCTAATGTAGATCCCTAAAAATCATCAGCACATGCCCGTTGATCCAGGGGTCGGAGCGTTAATCAGCCCCATTTCCAGCCACTTTGATATCTTTACGGGGTAGAGATTTTATGCATTATTTTATATTTTCATATTGGGCTTGGTAATATGGGAAAAAGATTCAATTTTTATAAAGTATGATTTGGGATGGACTTTTATTCATTATCCTAAATCCTTTTGGAAATATATATACTTTATAAACTTTGATGTCACCAAGAAGCAGGATATCTTGTCTAACTATTACTTTGATATGCCTTACCATACCGAGATAACCTCCCATTGGTTCAGGATCTTCCAATCATGATTCTCCCTGAAGTAATCAGATTCCCAAAGAAGGATTGAGATTCTTGAATACGAAGGATTACAAGGATTTTAACTTTCCCCATAGTATGTTGTACGATGGTCTGTGTTACTTGTACTCCATATTCCATCCTAGTAGGTGATGATGATGTACGAACAAAACAAACAAACAAACAAACAAATAAATGGAGATTTAGAGATTTGTCTGTCTAATAGGCAAAGAAGTAATGATCAACATGATGTGCAGGAATATGCAATATGTACTAGGTACTGGGTAGTTGCTTCACCGCATATGATGATACTTTCCTATTAATGTCGGGGCTCTCAGGGTATATAGTTGAGTATTTCTTCCTTCCTTTTTTATTTCTAATTTTTATGTTATTATTCTTCGTGCTTGACTCGTATTTCACTTTGATTATCAACAGCAAGAGCAATAGCCACCAGCCATTGCTTATTTTACTCAACGGCTCACATTGTCAGTTCATCATCCGAAGCTTGAATCGAACCATCCGTATCACAGCCCTCACAGCCCCCATCACCTCACCTCATCTCAACATATACATAACATCAACTCCCATTCCCCATTTCCTCCATATCAACCTCCTCAAATTCATCCTCTCTCTTATTACTTGTACTCATTTTTAAATCTTCAATCTTCAACCTCAACCTCAATCTCGATCCTAAACTCCTAAATTCTTTACAACTCTTGAAGATTTCAATATGAAGTACCTTCTTTCCGCACTCGCTTTAACAGCCACACTAAATGCTGCCGTGCTCCCAAGACAAGTAATCCCATGTACATTCTACATGTCCGCCGTCGGCGACCCAACCGATCCAACTGGTTCCATTGTCGAAACCACCATAGGAGAAAATCGAATTGGTGGATCCTGGCCTCAAGGTGTCTATAGCATTGATGCTAAAGTACTCACCGATGCTGAAGGTCACAATTGCAGTATTTCCTCTACCACCGCCCAATTCCAATGTATCCAAGGCTCCGCGGTTACATTGTTTACATTGGGTAATAATGGAAATTTACTCTACAATGACACGAATGAGGATTGGCTAGCATGTCCAGCTACGGGTCCGGGTGAAGATGGAAGTTATAATATTTTTACCCAAGCAAAAACCAACACGACAGGATGCGAAACTATTCAAATAGTTACTGGAGGATTTAGTTGTGCGGCTTTGGGAAGACCAACAAGTAGTTCTACCACTTCAATCGCGTCTGCTACTTCTTCTGCTTCGTCGACGATTCCTGTAGCTACATCAACCACCTCTGCTGCTACTTCATGCCCAACCGATATCACCTCAGGGCCCTTCGAATATCCACATCTTATAGTACCGGTCTCCCCTGAATCTCCAGACCACGCATTCGGTAATCAATTCACTGCCCATATCACCCCTCAAAACAGCACCATCTTTAACTTCGACGTACCATCCAAAGCCCCTTACACTGGTATCTGTGCCCTTCTCTTCCTTCTACCCGTCGCATCCAATACCCAAGCTGGCACATACAATTTCACCGGTATTGAAGAAGAAACCGAGGAAAATGGAGGTATTGATTTTTCACTATTGAATGGTATTTCCAATTCCGATACGACTTATAATACTCAACCAGCAGTCGCGACAGATTTTGGAAAGGTACAAGTTATTCCAGGAAATGCATACACGGTTGCTACATTTGCGTGTCCGACTGGGAAAACGGTTAGTTATGCCGCGAAGAGTGCAGGAGGTGTGGGATTGGAGTATTTTGAAAATAGTGCCGCGAGTGCTATTGGCCTTTATATGGTACCTTGTTCTTAGTTGCGGAAAGTTTTTTGGACGATTGCTTTGGTGCTGTGTTGGAGGTGAGGATTGTTTGGGTATGAGGGGTATGTAATGAGTATGCAATGGATTATGGCTACGAATTACAGGTTATGAATCACGGATACGGTTTATGATATTGATGGAACGGAGTATGGAAAAAGTTCATGATAGATTGGGTTTCACATGACTTGACTTGCATGGTATGGTATTGTATGGTATGGAATGGTATTCGCACGGATGAATGTGCTCTTTTGGAAGAGAAGAGAAGATTACTTTAATTGTTTAATGAATGCTTTGACTTGGTTTAGTCGGTTTGACTTTGGTTGATGGCTCTGCGCGTGGATTTTGATCTTGTGGGTTAATGGTGGTTGTGTGGAATAGAGTAGAGTGGCGAGGAGCATGGTGGAAAGAAGGAAAGGGAAGGAAAGGAAAGAGATATGCATGATATGATATGGCATGACTGTAGTGTGGTGGGGTATGAGGGATGAGGAATAAATAATAAGTAATGAGGGAAGGAGAAGGGAGATGAGAGATGAGAGATGAGATCAAAGATGCATTACCTAAGTGTTGAGTTTATGATTAATGAAATGATAAATAATTCTTATGCTTTTTTGATTTTTTTGATTTGGGTTGTGGTTTTGATCTCTTGATATTCGAGATGTTTAAAGTGTAGATTAAAAGATTATATGAGATTAATAAATAATTCGAATATTTAACATGTGCACATTATACAAGCTTGGTATATATCATATCGTACCACACCTTATTATATTAAAGTAATCAAAGTATACAGAATAAACCAATCAAGTAGAGCAATCAGAGTAATACAAATAAGTTCGATTAGGTTGTGCGATATTATACCCAGGTATTAGGTAGGTACGTAGGTAGCTAGGTATTCTAGGTGTATGAATAGTGTAGGATTAAGATATACACTTACTCACTCCTACTCCTTTCTTCCTTCCTGCTTGCTTGCTTGCTTGTATCATCCATTCTTCATCCATCCATCCATCGCAATTCCGAGTCATGATACTCAGCTACTTTAGCTATTCTCTTCATTGACGTATATCCATTCATCCATTAACGACCATTAAACCGAACCGTGCTGCCCAAAAAAGGTTTACAGACACTTCAGATCGATCGATCGGTCGAAAACAGACAACTGATCTGATTGTAGCCCACAACCCAGTCCATAATCCACAAACCATAGGTATCATCGCAAGTAAGAAAAGAGAGAGAGAGAGAGGGAGAAAAGGTACCATAACATCGAAGCCCACCAACCAAGCAACCAACAAACTCACGCAATTCGAACCCAGATAATCTATCAGTAATCTGTAATCAGTAATGAACAAACCCCACGGTAGAGTTTACTCAAGACCGGTAGTATTAGTAACCCCAGTATTATGACCCGGAGTATGAGCTTGCGAATGCGTCGCCGTCTTCTCATCCGTCAAAACACCACCATTATTATCATGACCCATATCACCAACTTGATCATGACCATCCACCAAATCCACAAAATGTTTGCTCGGTTTCCAATGAACTGAATCCTTAGCAGTAGTATTGCTATCATAAAGTTCATCAATTTGTTCCAGTGTCAAGCCTTTAGTTTCATATATCATGAAATAAACAAAGGCGATACATACAAAGCAGCAAGCGAACCAGATGAAGAAAATCTTCGATTGAAGATTAGCATTGCCTTTTCCGTAGTTGACGAGATAAGGTGTGGAATATGCAATTGCCCAGTTGAGAAGCCAGTTGGTGGCGACAGACATGGAGAGAGCCTTGGCGCGAACTTTGAGGGGGAAGATTTCACCGCAGACAACCCATGCGAGAGGTCCCCAGGTGGAGGCGAAGAAGAAAATGTAGATACAAATGAAAGCGATGGATGCTTTTTGGGCAGGAATGTTTTTCGCAAATACATCACCGGTTGCTGTTTGTCCGGTGGTGGTTGTTCCCAATACGGCGACGATGAGTTGACTAACGCACATTCCGACAGCTCCCCATAATAGAAGTGGACGACGACCAAATTTCTCAATTCCGTATAAGCCAGGGAGAGTAGATGAGACATTGACAGCGCTGGTAATCATCTGAATGACAAAAGCATTTGTGATGCCAGAATTCTTGAAGTATTGAGTACCATAATCTATGAGACGAAATTATCAGTGCTCTGTCAAAGATTCCATAGCCGAAATAGACTTACAAAAGATGAAATTGACACCAGTGAGTTGTTGCAAAGCTTGAAGTAAACATCCCGTTGCAAGTCTTTTAGCCATACCACCTCTGAAACAATCCGCATAAGAAGCTTGACCAAGTTGGAGTTCGTATTCATGATTAGCTGTAATTTCAGCCAATTCATCACGAATATATGTATCATCAGCAGGAAGACGACGGAGCTTAGAGAGAGATCGGGCAGCCTTCTGGTACTGTCCCCGCTTGATTAAGTAACGAGGTGTTTCAGGCAAGAATAATAATCCGACGACCAAGATGATAGCCTAAACTGGTGTTAATAAAGTCAAGTAGAGCTCAAGGTGAAGTGACCAACCCAAAGAAACTGAATTGCAATCGGAATTCTATATGACCCAGTGTCATTTCGGCCTTGTGTAGCATTATCGACAACAGCTGCGAGAAGCAGACCAATTGTGATAGCCAATTGGTAACATCCAACAATAACACCTCGAATCCATTTAGGTGCAGTCTCTGCTTGATAGAGTGGAACTTGGTGAAATAGTGTTAGCTCATTGCTCGACTCGTCCATGTAATAGGATCAATTAAAAAGCATAAATAGATAAAACATATTGAATTGAGGCAAAATCACAGAACTTACTTAAAGCAGAGATGAGGCCAACTCCAAAACCAGCAAAGAAACGACCAGCAATGAACATTGGTAGAGCAGTAGAGGCAGTTTGTAAGATAACACCGAAGTTAAAAACAAGACCGGAAGATATCAACAGAGCAATACGGCGACCAAAAAAGTCCGCAAGAGGAGCTGCAGTAAGTGCGCCGAAGAAGGTACCTGCCGATAGAATAGAGACAACGGCCGCAGACTGGGAGGGAGAAACATCGAGATGATTCTTTGGATTGACGTAGCCAGTAGAGAATTCCTTCTGCCAGTAGCTAGTTTAAGTGTTAGTAAAAAGATACATTGAAGTGATTTTATATAGCGTTGACTTACTCCATAGCAAGAATACCACCAATAGTACCTGTATCATAACCGAAAAGTAGACCACCAAATGCAACAAAACATCCAATGACGATCTAATTAAACCGTTAATCATGGTTGGAAATGGCATATAGGTAAACACTTACTGCTGGCCATGATCTTCCTGGAACGCCCGTAGGCTTCACGATTGAAATACCCATCTTATTGATTGATATCTTTATAAGAGGTCAAGCAAAAGGATGGATTGAAAAATGAGAAGGTAGTAGTAGTGTATGCCAAAAGGAATTCTGTAGGAAATTTTGAATTAGGACAAAATATTGTATGGAATTAATGTTGTGTAAGAGTCCAGAATTTGGGAGCTCGAAGGAAGAAGGTTATTCTTATGTAAAGATTGTAAGGCAGGAACGGTTCTGTGTGTGAGCTTATTTGATACGGTTCGCCTCTAAATAGGAGTAATTGGGTAATATCCGTTGGAAAGTGCCATGAGACGAGCGAGGGGATTCACTACATTTGGTAGTTAAAACGACTGATTGGATGCATGGAGAAAAAGCTCCAAGGCTTGCATTAGGGAGTACCTAGGTACGGTATATGTGATAGAAAAGAAATCATCCAATGAATGATATCAAAATAAAATGATTCCCAAACTATGAGACCATCACGAATATTCAAATTCTAGGGATCCGAATTTCTGGGGTGATTTCAGGTCTTGGCTCGATTACGTATGGATAGCAATGTAACATATGACAGTAAGATGACAGTCTGCGTAGTGTATTGAAGAATGGATGATCTTCGTATTGACGACTTACTAGGATTTCCGAATCTAAAAGGCATTTTTAGCCATAAAAAAGTCTTTAAAAATGCAGGTTGAAGCGTCAAAAAAGTATCAAAAGTGTCCAACAACCAATTGCGGGGAAGGCGGGATGCCCAGCTGAAGGTATGGATTACTTTCTGGGGTAGAAATCCAACGTTCAATTATGGCGAATAGTAATTGATTTTCCAATGCAGCTCGAGTCTCTCGATACCCAGTTCGTCTGAGCTGCCCTGTCGTGTGACTTCGTTAATTGATATAAGTTTCTTGGAATTGGTGATATATTGAGTAATATCAAATGAGGTGAATGGATCTCATCCCAACAACTTGGATCATTATCTTCATTTCTCCTCGCTGGGCCGTATTTGAACGGTATTATTCGCATCTAGCTATCAGTATTCGGTCCTTCAGATGAACGTGATAGTTTAAGATGTAAGAATTTGAGATCGATAGTGTCGTGTGTATCATGGCCAAGATGTGGAGGTTTGTGGAGGTATTTCAGACAAGAGGAGAAAAGAGAAGAGGTCGTCCTCGGTTCAATTGGCGCTAAGAAAACCTAAATTCAACCACGTGTAGCTTAGCCTATACTCGATTTTGTGTTGGCGACGACGACAACGATATAGCTTAAATCTTCAATTGGAAAAAGGTGCAGCATCGGAAGAATAAAAAAGTTACATTAATCCTGCATTGTACTCTGTATCTCACAGGGATGTTGTGTCCCGAACAAGTGGCCAGTTATTCCTTGGAGTTTCCCAGCCAAAACTTATCCAATACAACGATCATGTATCGAGTATAAATCTCCTTCGCCGCATATGGCTGACGCCGCGCAGGAAGTTTGTTATGCATTTTGCGAGGCTCTCGACATACTTGGCACATAATATCGGTCCGAAAATCATCTAATCTTTTCCTTACTTCACTTCATTAGACCCGGATTATTGTAATATTGCAGTACAAAACAGTGTAGTTTCTCAGGCGCCGTCTGAGCAATAGCTACTGTGTTGTGGTTACACATGGAATCATTTCGTGATCGCTGGGCATACGAACATTACTTTTCGAAGCTCGCATAACTTCTTTGTGGTAGTTTATGCATTTTCTTTTTCGTCTGTCTCTAGAAAAGGATACTTGAACTTCATACACGAATATGCTCAGGATGAAGTTTTCTTGGCTCGGTTCCAGTTGGTGCAGAGCTAAACAATCGCATGGCATTGGTCTCTTACACAACATATTAATGTACTTGGCGTTTCTACCTTTGTGAATATCGCTTTCCTTTTAGTTTCGTTTGGTTTCCACGCCGCATCCATCAATCTCAGATAATACTACTGGCTAATCAAGCCATAGTGGGATCTCAAACTCATATAGTCACACTTCCCTCTTATTGTTTGTTTTGTTTGTTTACCTACTTGCTAGAAAGTCCAGTGATATGATGCAAGTATATCATATCATGCTTTTCATACGGCTGCATTATAGTAGGACCGACCTAATCCTTTTATCTTATTGTTACATGGCAGAAGCCACTTCTGTTCATCGTCTAGTTAGCCAATGACAGCTACTGCCACGAATTTCACACATAAAATGCAGGTCGTCTCTTAAGACCTGACCTGACCTAGGATGTGAATATCTCAATGCTTCTTCGTATCATTCCTTTTTTTTTTCCTCGGTCGGATTAATTGGATTGACCGAGTAGCAACCGGGTTGGAAAGTGGAGAGCATCTAGAAGATGAGTTCTTCGCGTGGATTTGGACATCTGGAGGTGCGAGTGAGAAAGGGGCTTGCTCATCTCTGCATGACGGTGGGTTCTATCAAAAGCATGGAGAAAACGCCATAAGATGTTGGTAATTCGGTTGATTTTGTTCTACTGCTTGACGACGAAGAAGATCATCAACTTCTCCGAGAGCATCTTGCGACTGCATTTGATATGGCTCTATTCGCTCCGCAGAGTCCAAAAGAGGATAAATTCAAAGTTTCATGGTTGAATCTGTTGCACGGTGCAGTCTGAAAGGCGGACTGTCTTCCGAGAACATCTATGATCTGGCTAGCATAAGAAGTCCTTAGCTCGCAAGCCACTTTCTTACTCGAACACATACACAATACCCAGATTAGATCAAGTTATTGTACACTCCATAAATCTCAAAGCCAGCCCCTTTCCCATACGATGTCTCTTCCTCCTAGTATAGAATTTCGACCACTTGCATCTTCCTTTCCCGCTTTTCACTCTTTCCTTCTCATTAACAACTATATCATTTTCTGGCTCGGCCTGCTCCTCGATTACCGGCCTCTGCATCTCCAACCATGTAACTTCCTCTGTTAATCCCCTATTTTCTTCTGATAATCCCTCAGCTGTATGTCCCAAATTGTTTATATCATTCCTCATGGTATTTACCAATGTCTCGTTTTCCGTATGTCTCCTCCCTAGATCATCAATATCGTTTAGGAGTCCGGCTATCCTTTGTTCTCTCTCCACATATCTCGTTCTAAGAGCTTGGACTTCGCCCATTAATCTTTCTTCTAGCTGGACGTTTTCCGCATCCTTCCTCGCAAATCCTTCCACAACTTCTCTTCTCAATGCTTCAATAGCAGCTGCATCTCTCTGCCTCTCTACGTGTCCTCTCAAAACTTCAGTCCTTAGCCTTGTAGCTCTTCTCCTCATTCCCCTGACCTCCTCTCCTATTTCAGCCCTTAACCCTAGAATCTCTCCTCTCATTGCCCTCACCTCCTCCCCCAATTCACCCCTGAGACCCAAGATCTCTCCTCTCATACCCCTTACCTCCTCCCCTACTTCACCCCTTAGCCCCTCAATCTCTCCTCTCATTCCCCTCATATCCTCCCCTACTTCGCCACTCAACGTTAAAACCTCTCTTCTCAACTCTATAATTTCCTGCCTCAAGCCTCTAACATCCTCTCTATTCTGCGTTCCCTCATTTCTCAACCACAAAATCTCTCCCCTACTCCCCCTCAACTCTTCTCGCACACCTCTCACCTCTTCTCCGGCACTCCTTACCTCTACCCTCACCCCCCTAATTTCATTCCTAATCCCCCAATCCTCCCCTCCTTCTGCAGCAACTCCGGCCCTACTCCCTAACTCCTCTCTCAGGCTCTGCATCTCTATCTTGGGCAGCTCCTCGCATCCAGATGATCACCTTCGAGGAGAATCTCATACTCGTATCTCATTTCAAAATCGTGGAAGCGGAAGTGTATATTTGCCATTATTTAAGGTAGTTTGGATTTCGAATGGTGAGTGAGGATAAATTGTGACGTCTATTGTGTCCTTTGTATTCGAGATGCGATTTCTTTTAGCGGACTATGTCTAGATGTCTAGCTTCGACGTGAAGTTGTAATCTATCCAACACATCAATTTTCCTCCACCTCTATGCACAATCGAAGAGTGCCAGTAAAGACTCCCTTCATGTCAAAAGAGAAACAACTGGTGACGTATCAATCTCACATACCAATAAAGAAAAAAGACTCATCTGTCGGTATCCTCAACTTCTGCAAGTTAAAAAAGAAACTTGACTCTTACCTATCAAACAATACAAATCCAAATCCAAATCCTAACCCATCAAATAACCACACAATATCCACTCATCTAAAATCTAACTCTCTCCCTCTACACTAACAATTCGACAAAAGTCCTCGTTCGTTGATACCATTAAATTCCCCCCCCAAAAAACGCAACATGTCCCGCTACCATTCTGCATCGAAATACCCCTCTTTTCATTCCGCATCTCAACCAAATAAATATCGACAACACACTCATGCGAGAATATCAAAGTCCTCGATCTATTCTATTCGCTACATATCTTAGTGATTCTTCGTATTCCAAGGCTTTGTACCTGCGCATATCCGTACATTGTCCAATTACTCCAACTTTCCTCAATGACTAAACCCTGAAGCCTGGTCCATTTGATCCCCTCCATCAAAACTTTCAATCCCAGCTCCAAGATCCATCACGACCTCATCACGATTACATTATTTCATTCTAACTTTTTACTTCCTAACCGATCCCCGCAGATCCCCGCAGCCACCCGAACCTCCTTTTCTTTTTTCATCCTGAAAGTTCCAATGTCGCTAATTCACATCTTTGGCGAATCCCAAGCTCATCTGTGTTTGCGTTTGCTTTTATTTTCACCTCCTACAAATAAAACCAAATCTGTAAGATGAATTACCCCTTACGATTTATAAAGTATTTACTCGAAACTTGATATTCATCATGCATATGTATTTACCCGTATACCCATACATTTGTGCAACAATGTGTAGCAGTGTGGAACAATAACTTTGTTGTTATAGGAAGTTTCCGGGTTTTTGTTTTTAAGATTTTGAATTTAATGTCACGATTCACCATTAGGATTGATGGTGTTACGATGGTAGCAAACTGATTAATTAGGAGAGCTTAGGCCTTGTGCAAACACGATCAGATTTCATCGAATTAGTATGTGATCTTGGTCACCTGAAGATCGTATGCGCACGCACCATCATAAATCACGTGATAAGGAGCCCTAGGAGCTTCGTGCTCAACTTAGTTATCAATTAGTTTACCTACATTCTACTTGATCTAGTAACGACTTCACTTCCAAGTGAAGACTAGTGATAAAGCCTTAACCCACAACTACCAATCAGACGAAACCTCAGGCAGCCGCTGCCTCCGGTACAGTATCGTTACAAGAACTTAGAAGAGAGATTAACCTACTAGACCAATATTACCTCAGTTCTGCCCTATCAGCTTCCCACTATTCCCTGTGTGAGGTCATTCCTTTTAACATTATTATTATTATTATTATGTTACGAGGTTTGCCGTCTAGATCACGTGGAAGTGCTCTAGGCTCTCGAGGTGGTTTATAACTAGGCGTCAAGCAGGGACTTAAGTAATGACAATAATGAAATGCAATTCGTAACTAATAGTAGGATATACTAAATGATTGATCTTGAGCACTAAGCTCTATACAAAGGAAATCCATCTTGATTATATAGACCTTCATGCCTATGGCTAGTCAGGACCGCGCAGCGGTCCATAACGTGACTTTAATCACGTTACCTTGGTTTAGTCATGTGACGCGGCATAGAAGATACCCGTTGTAACATATTATTTATTATAAAAATTGATTTTAATAATTGTTTTATTTATTAAAATTATAAATATTGTTTATTTTTTAATTTTATATATATATATAAATATTATGTAAAAAATAATTATATAAAATAATTATAAAAAAATTATTTATTTATTAAATAATTTAAATTTAAATTTAAAAATTTTAAAAGAGAGAATCTTTTTAGAAATTCTTTAATTTAAATTCAATCTCAGTTTTTTATCCCTCGGGGTCTGTGAATCAACTCCAACATCAATTTTCTCATCCATCAGAGCCTCGGCAATAGCAAATGTCGTAACTTTAGTTTATAAAGGTCACGCTCTAGCTTCCTCTATCCTGCTTCGTTCTTAACTCCATTGTTTCCAGATGTGCTAATACCTTCGAAAGAGCGATCTTATTGGCCATCTTCTCGTCGCTTTTTAGTCGTGAAATTACTAAACCGAAATGTGTGATCAATAATATTTTTCCCTTCCTTATATATTCTACTCACAATTGTATCTCGAGTAAGATTATTGAATACTCCAGCGATCGCAAATAGATCCCGTATGCTGTCACACATTGTCTCCTCTATCATTCTGTTTATAATTTTATATTCGTTTTCAGACGTGGGAATGGGTGGTCTGAATCTATAATATCTATCATTCCCGAGCGTGCATTTTCATTTGAGCTCACCAAATTGTATTTAGAGGCAGGAAGACAGGATACTTATTTATGATTGATGATATAACAATAAATTATTTTTAACAATCAACAATACAAACCTAACCACCGAACATCCATAGTCACTTTTCTTCCACACATAAATATATCAGAACGGTCCAGCAGGACCAAAGCCTTGTCCAGTTAACCACAAATCATCATACTTGCTCTGTGTCCAAAACGGACCTGGACCATGTCCATTAAGACTATGCAAGAACCTCAAATAAGTAGTAGAAATTTCACCTTGAGGATTAAGCACATTTTTCAACCAAGCTACGCCATCATTATCGCTACCATACGAGGCCTTATACGAGGAAACAGTAGCTTGATACCAGACATCTGCTCGAGCCTCGATATCGTTCAAAATACTATCGATCCAGTAAACGTAGAGATCACGCAAGCCAGCTTCTGGTTGTCCATTTGCACGGTTCGGTCGACCAATTTCACCAGTGGATCTTCCCCAAGTATAGCTCTGATCGAATTGGCGACAGGCTCTTTCCATGTATTGAGATGAGGCGACAAATTTTGGCCAAATATCAGCGTGTCGCATGTATGAAAAGACTCCAGCTACCTATAAATATGTTGGTGATATTCTTACCACAGAAGATATGTTAGTAGACTACTTACATCACGATGCTCTCTCCTAGAAGCAAGATTACTCGCTTTTGGTCTCGAATCAATGGTGCCTCCTTCAAAGAAAGTCTCTTTCCTATTATTCATAACCTTGTAGGCGAGAACTAGTCCGGCTTTGTTATGATTCCCACCCAAACCCATCGTCATTTCGAAGAACAGACTACCTTGTCCCCATTCAGGGGCTACGTGCGCTCGACTTCCCCCTGTGGCAGGAGTGAAGCCGATTAAAACTTCTGATACCCACTCATTTGTGGCGGCTGTATATCCCGTTGGTAGAGGCCCATTAATTAAAAACTGCATGAAACGCTTTAATAGTTGGACCTCGTAGATATGCTCGGTGACATATTGACTAGTGTCGGTCTCGGGGGCCTTTAACTTGGTAATAGCGACTGTGAGATTCGGCATCAGTAATTGCCAACACGAGGAAAGATCCTATAGGGAATTGAGAGAAATGAGAAGCCAAAAGCTGTATCAGAAAAGCACATGGTGAAACAGGAAAATGAATTTTAAGATCGGGAACAGAACTAAGTATGATAAACAAAAAATTTAGTAAACCGGTTGCTTACTGCTACAACCCCTGGCATTATTGAGACCCTCAGGTCCGTACCACTTCAAAATTCCCGACTGACCCTTAGCAGTACCACAGTGCTCGTAGTTACCACATGGGAGATCATGGTTCTCACCATTATAATACCACGTCACGGTCTTCTCAGCTCGTTTCTCCCAAAGATGGCCTGTCTGTTCTCGAGTTTCTATGAGTGTATCATTCTTCGAGCCTAGTGAGTACCATAGCTCAGATCTGCGTACTACAGAAGAGCTGTCAATAGGGCAAGCTGGCTCGGAGCTGGGCTCAAACGGGCAGGATTCTTCTTCACGTTTTGCTAGCTTTCCATCGCTGACACCACAAAGTGGGCAATCTGGAATGTCCCCAACGTTTACATTTCCTGGGCACAACAAGCCGTCAATGCGCGGTACGAGGGGACCGTATACCTGCACTCTTTTTTCTAATGAATGAAACATATCAGGTGATGATCTTGGACGAGCTTTATTAGTTCCTGGTGTCCAACAAGCAAGTTTGCCGTCTGTCGGATATATCTGCACCTTGTCCACGGGAATAATGGGGAAAGGAGAATTAGGAAGGGCCCATTGGAAAGCTTTGGGAGCGTCAATAGTAGCCAATAAATCTGCGCCTGCATCAACCCCGTAGCAAAAGGAGCCCGGAGGCTGGTATTCTGCGTGGAAAGTAACATAGCCATCTGCGACCAAGTTGACAGCGCAGCTTTCGACTGGAAGAAAATCCTGATTGAAGTCGATGCCAAAGGTTATTGTAGGTTTGACATGTGCAGTAATGTGACCATTAAGCGTAAATCCCCATTCGAATTCGGGCTTTTCCAAAATCTGTGTACCGTCCTTATCCGGCTTGCTGCCTTCCGGATCCCAATCGTCATTGGCAGCTGGATACGTCTGCCGCGTGTCCCATTTGGCGAGTTTAGCCGTAGCTTGAAAATTCACGCCTGAATTGGAATAATTAATATTGAGGTCTCAAATCGAAGCTCAAAGTCACCCGGGACATTGAACCTCGAATACCCTGCCAATTCTATAATTTCACAAACGCAAGGAAAAGACCAAGACTTACCAATAGTCGCCTCGCCTTCGAGCCTGCCGAAGAGCTTAAAGTTAGGGCCTATAGTAACGACCCCAGGTACCGCAAATGCAGCTCCAAACTTATCAGCAGAAAACATAAGTATATCATTGGTGTCGAAATGAGCAGTGGCCGCTGCCTCCATGACAAACTTAGCTGAGACTTCCCCCCTATTGCGAAAGTAGAGATAGGACTTGCTCAAATCTATCAAACCATTATCACCACCTATAGTGGTGATGAGGGTGAATCCGTAGTTCACATCTACTTTGACGGTAGTCTCTGCTTTGACTTGGAGCTTTGCCTCAACATTGGGACAAGTTAAACGTTGGTCAATAATCTTGAAAATAAAATTATCGGTGTAGGAATGGCTGATATCAACACCCCCTGTGACTCCATTGATAAGCCCAGTAAGCCATTCAATAACATCGCTTTGGTAAATTAGCAAAACACTTCTCTAATTGCGTTTGATTAGATTTACGTACTCTCCAAACCACCGTTTGTGTAGCTCTTCAGGAGTCAAATGTCCAAAGTGCGCATCCTCTCGCCACTCTTCTTCCAGCCATCGTTTGTGGCTTCCAGAAACATCGGAGAGATTTCTTCGTCTGGCCTTTTTACGTTTGGCTGGTTCATCTACGACCCTGTCCCAATATTGTGGCTCATTGCTAAAATCTATGCGCATCTGTGTGTTTCCCATGTCCCTTGGAACTCTGCTGAAGTTGTAGTCAAATGTGAGATCAAAGACAGTTGAAGTATCAGGAAGATCACGAACAAGTAAATGGTGTGGTAGACTTTGGTTTCTACTCGGGACCAAGGACTTTGCCACTGCATACTTGCCAGGTCCGCATCCATCAGGCATTTGAATGATAGTACCAGGCGCACCATGACCCAAGTGTATTTTACCACAGTTGGAATTCTCAGTATCATCAGTGCATGTAATGTGTACTGTATGTTCCCCCTCAGTTAATGCATCGAAACAGTCAAAGACTTCCCAATGGGATCCGTCACGACGATCCAGAGATACTTGAATCTCATCAGGACTTGTCATGACAACAAAGCCAAAAGGCACATTGGCTGGACTCTCTTGGAAAGGAACATCTTTACTACCCCCATATGTCGGATCAACTTCAAGATCAAACTTGGTATTTGCGTCTTTTTCGTCTGGGGGATTCGGGAACAGGTACTCAAGGGGAACCGGTAAAAATGGAGATTGATCCTTGGGAGGGTCACAGCAGAAACTGCGATCTCGGTCCTGGTGCCAAAAACCACAGTCTTCGCCTTCGCCTTGATATGAAGTGGTCATTGCTACTTGCCAGCCAGTATCGCAGTGGTTGTCGAAACAACTTCCGGGCTTTCCGTGCCAGCCGCAATTAGTCCAGTGCTGTTCTTTTTGACAGCAGAATCTGTCCTTATCATCATTATCGCAATCACTATCACGCCATGTCAGGTCATCTTCGTCTGAGTTGCAGCTGTTGCCGCATCCAGACCAGCGACAGTCGGGAACGGCTGCTTCAGCTTTACAACACAAAAAGGCTCTTCCATCCAAACACCAGACTGTCACATCGTCGCCGTAGACGGAAGACTGCAGGGCCACCTCACCGGCCTCACAATAGCCATTGCAGAATCCCAAGTTTCCGAACCCTCGCCACGTGCTGGAAAGCATAAGTCAGCATTTATTATGCATATCTGTAGAATAAAACGAACTATAGCAGTCTACGTATACCAGGAGACTCTTCAGACGAAACACTATATTTTGATATCTAAGGGATTTGTGGATCTCTCAGATAGGTTGAATCACTTGAATCATTTTAACGATTTGAACCACTTGACCACTCAAGTTAGTTCAATCTCTCAAAATAAATTGATCCTATTTCATCCGTTAAATAATTTTAACTTCAAAGTCTCCAGTGGTCTACCATGCATAGTAAGCTTCATTGCAAGTACTTACCATTCATTTGGATCCGGCGCCGACGACAACGGACAACACGTTGCGGAATTGGAATAGCTATCAGTCCAGAAATCATACGCCGAGCATTGTTGGGTGTCGATTAAAATCTCACCAGGACTGCAATAGGGAGAACCACATTCGGTAACACGACAGGCTCCGCCATCTACGTCTTCCCAATTATCCGCGGCGTTAGATTCCTCCGCACGCACTCCTAAGCTCTCAGGATACACAACAGCTGAAAGCGCTTCTAGATCTTTGGTATCTAAATCAACTGCCCAGATGAGAAGCCCACCTAAGCCTAGCGAGTTGGCAAACTCAATTTTCTGTTGAATCGTGTCAAAATCGTCGTATGAAACCCATTGATCACCACCCCATGTGATCCACTTGACTGCGGCTTCCTTATCATGATAGGGACTGAGCTTGTTCCTGTCAATAATATCGACAATTTCAGCGTACGAAAGAGTGCCAGAGTTTGCAGTGCAGGGTCCCGGAGATGCACCGCCCTTAAATATACATCCAGGCTTGGAACAAGAGGGATCAGCCAACTGAAAGGAACGACCATAGAAACCTAGTCCCATGTTTAGCTTGGGTGCCGGAACGTCATTTCTCCAGAACAAATTGAGGGCCAGGTTGATTTCAGTAATGTTACTATGAGCCAGCACGGTTGAGCCGATTGGATTATTAGCATCCCAAATTCCGTGGAGGTCATATGCCATGATGTTGACAAAATCCGCTGCTTCAGCACTGGCTTTAATGTCAAAGTGACGAAGATACTAAATAATGATCGTGAGACTTCATCGTGTACTCAAAAGCTGCGTAAAGAAGACTTACCCAGTAACTAGTCGGAGCGGTGAAGGAGATTTCCTTATACCTGCCACTCATTCCATCAAACGCGGTCCGCATTTCCTTTAGCAGTTTGGTAAAATTGATACCATCTTCCGGCTTTCCACCTCGGTCACCCGCGCCCGGGTACTCCCAATCGAGGTCCACACCATCAAAACCATATCGCGTCAGGAATGATTTGACATTCGAAATAAATTTGGCACGGTTGGCCTTTGTTGAAACAACATTGCTAAAAACCGGTTGCCAGATAGTGCCATTATCATTGAAAGTCCAACCCCCTAAAGCGATAAGTACCTTCAGACCTGGATTCTTCCTTTTCATGCCAGCTAATTCAGCTAGTGTGGACTCAGGCGGAGGATTACCATCGTCCATGGGAATGATATCAAAATCATCAGGAGTGATGTAGCCAAAAGAGTAATACAAGTGGGTGAGGCTACCCACTGGGATATTCTGGATGCCCATACCAATACACTTTTTCTTGTAATTCCAAGCCTCATAGTAGCCAATGACTCTCTTCTGTACATTCCCTCCAGAAGACCCAGAGTCAGGCTGAGCACAATTACTCTGGCAGCTGGTTTCATCGTCATCTGTGACCTTGCAGAATTCTTCAGTGGTCCCACAGAAGCCGAATTGACTACAGCAGACATTGAGGGGACATTTTGTTCCTGGCACCTTGGAATATCTACCACATTCGGCGTGGGCATCACAATTACTCCAACAAACTTCATTAGGTGATTGTCCATTTGCACCACAGTACTTTGGACCATAACCACACACGCCGTTCTTTCCACAGCAGGCATGATTTCCACAAGGATCGCCGTCACCGCACGCGTATGGATCATCTGACTGGCGTTTACCAAGCAAGTCACTCGGCCACAATTGAAGGGTTTGATACTCATCTTTCTTGCATATACCATCATGTGCCACTACCTTGACTGCAAAGTCTTGTTGTGAAGTGAGAACATTGGGGATAGGCTTGCAAGTAAGTTGGTGGCCGTTATCGTAGGTTTCAGTTGATGAGACTGAACGTCGTGGTACACAAGACACTCCAAGGGCCAACGTCAAAAGCAAGTACAAGTAATGAACAAGAGCCATGACGAAATGAGACTGGAGATGAGAAGGGAATTTCATATGGATTGACTCGATCACCAAGAAAAGGCGAATGGTGAGACTAATAGCTGTTTGAACTATCAAGAGATGATACGTTTAAATTGCAACTCCCGAGGAACGGGAAAGATGCAGTAACCGTTAGCTCATCCCGTGTCATTTTTATCAGATATGCCTGAATATTGTTTAAACCCATGTGCTAAGATAGTGTCAATAAACACGTAAAAGTCTGCACGCAGATGGAGCCATGATTTCCGAATGAGGAAAGATAATTGAATGGAGTTGGTCGTACACGATATCAGACGCTGTATCCCTTGTAATTTGAAAAGCCATCGAGAAAATATATAAGGGGATGCAACTTCAACCCAGAGAGAAGAGGAGAAGATTGAGAAGGGCTACTAAGCCGGCAAGGGTGCTTGCCCATAACTACAACGGGGACGGATAACATATTCATTGCTACTATCAAGGTTTTATATCAAGATCATCTTCCATGGAAGAACTGAAATTGAACCCCGAACCTCGTCGCCGAAGCCAGTGACATTGAGCCAAGATACGCCCACAAGGTCTATTCGTCAAGTCGTGCGGGGTAACTTTAGCCAGTAATCATCCCGCATAAGCACAACGTTTCGGAATATGTTAATGTGGAAAAGTAGGGTGATATTTACGTGCAAAAATTAAGAGACGACGGGATATTCCTAGGTATCTTGATTCAACTGAAGATCATCATAACTCACCAAGCCACGCCGATATGAGATATAATCTTCCAAAGAAAGAATATATTTGAGTGACGTAGGATAGTATGAGCATCGGGTCAATGTATTTGATAGGGTTGGAACAATCAAAGGCTTACGACTGCACAGTATATTGACGTGGAATATAGGCTGACAGGAGTTTTTCCAGGGTTGCATATGCCGCCGATCGGATCTGTCACTCGACAATATTCATGACAAGCAAAAACAAATACAGGTTGAATTTCAGTGCGTAATACTTTAGGGTCATTTGGCCGGAGAGGAAGGCATACATTATGGGAGTCAAAATGTAGCATTTCATTGCGTACAAATAGGTCCTGACAATAAGCTCATATAATATTCCCCTGCTTATCCCAGGCAGCCCCAAGTTTTAAACTAGGGAAACTCTATTCATTTGCCGTATCCCATGATGTTGTTCCACTCATCAGAACTCATCCATCTGGCCATTTTGGCAACACAATGGACAAAATTCACAAGCGCGATTCAACTCATCACTGTGGACACTCTGCCCAGTGATTCACTGTCTGCTAACTGCATCGCTGCGCTTACAGCAAATGTCAACTGTGCACGGCAGATCAAGGGATTCCTACCCGGAACATACAAGTCTATCGAGGTACTTGAAAGAGCGTGCACGAATGACTGCTCCATATCACTTGCAAAATATCAGAAAGCTACCGAGGTAGCATGTGGTGAACATGATTCGTTTCCGATTAGTGAAAATCGTGAAGCTCCTGTTTCATTCATACCACAGATTATGTTCTATAACTTCAATAGAACATGTATCAAGGACGAAGGAAGATGGTGCAACATTGTTCACAAAGGTTTCGCTGAAATTAATACGATAAATCCAATGGCTGAATTGGTATTGGACAAAGAAACTAAACCTGGGAGCAACAAAAGTAACTCCTACCAAAGCAGCATGTGGTTGTGTAGCAGATGATGTATAAAGATCCGTTTCTAACATGACATTCAGAGCGACAAACGGCTGTAGATATTTGTGACAACTGTGTCATCAAGCAACTACAATTTCAAGCCGGATCTCCCATCAACGATGGATTCTTGTTGCAGTCCAAGTACAGTTCTCTAACCGCGCGCTGTTCGAAAACTGGAATGCCTCTTGGCACTTCGACGACCCCATTTCCAGTGCAGTGAGTTCTCTTAATACCGACAAAAATATCACACCTGTCTGACCTACTTACTCATAGACCAATACCAACAAGTCCAGCAGGAAATTGTACTGGTCACCGGTATACTCTACAGGCAGGCGATACGTGCCGGTCCATTTCCAAGTCCCAAGGTGTAGGTACTGCCTGGCTATTGTACGACAACAACCTCGCTGCTTTTTGTGCTGGATTTCCCACAAATGGTACACTTTGCATCCAGAATAGATGCTCTGTTTACACGGTGCAGGTAAATGACACTTGTCTTGGCATTGCCGGTGCTAGAAATCTTAGTCAGATCCAGTTGAATACATGTAAGTTATCCTATAATCGACGCTTCTACCCAGAAGGATATAGGCAGCGTTCTGTTTTCTGATGTCTTAGGGAATCCCATACTCGGTGATTTGTGCCGTTCCATCAATCTTTCTGTTGGCGATTCGATTTGCGTCTCTCCTCCCGGGGAACCAAACTACACAGTTCCAACTATTACTGCTCCTCCAACATCAGGACCATCTACCACAGCCGCACCCGTTCCAACTCCACTAGCACCAGGTACAACGGATTATTGTGCACAATACCACCTGACTGAAAAGGGTGAATACTGCAACTTGTTGGTCGTCAAATTCAGTATAGCGCTGGAAGATTTCCTGTTTCTGAATCCACATGTTAATGCTAAGTAAGCCTTGCATAATCTTGCACTTGGAATCGTCTGACAAGTCATTATTATGGTAGCTGTACAAATCTGTGGGCGGATACATACTATTGCGTTAAGCCAGTAGGCTCAGTGGACCTGTACCCGTCACATTCCAATTATGTTCCCACCACAACAACTTACTCGACTATTCCCTTTGACAGCCTTCCCAAGGCGACTTTTATAGCGCCTGCAATTACCGGGCTGCCGGAGGTTTTGCCTTTAGCAAAAGGTACACGAGCAGATTGTTTTGTTTATGCGAATGCAGACTCACTCAAATTGACATTTGATCTCGCGTCAACTTTCTTTACCTCAGCTTGTGATGCAATTGCCAACGGCTGGTCTATAAGCCTAGAGGAATTGGCTAACTGGTGAGGTACCTTCGTGTTTGATTCTATGTGTCTTTTCTGATGTTGACTCCTCTCCTTAAACTATAGGAACCCGTCACTACAAGTCAACTCAACAGACTGTGCCCCCGAAGCTGGCCAGCGATATTGTATGGCGCAATGGAACGGTGCCAGTTTCGCCCAGACTAAGACCATTGCGACAAGTACGCCACTCCCCGTCAGGGTAAGTTAGTATTTTACTCGTCATGTCAGACTTTCCATGACAACTTTTAATCGATAATACGGCTTCCAGGATGGCGTGACTCCAGACTGTAAGGACTATTCGAGCGTCAATGCTGGAATCACTTGTCAGAATATACTCGATCGGAATTCTATTACCATTGAGCAATTTTACGCATGGTAAGAACAAACACCACCCCGTCGAAGAGATATCTGCGAAAGAAGTCTGACTTGAAATGTAGGAATCCTGCCGTGGGGCCTAAGTGCGGAAATCTCTGGTCGGGTGAGACATACATTCTTGGAAGAAATCATGACTGCAAAGGAAGACTGATCGATATAGGATACCGATATTGCATCCGCGTCGATGATGTTCCTGTTGACCCAGAGGAATCAACTAGCAGTAGTACTACCACAAGCAAATCAATCAGTACAAGTGAGTGACGAAGTAGTAGAACTTGCCTCAAAGTAAAATTTCTGCTCACTAACACGCGTGATTACTGTCCAGCCTCGACGGCAACTTCCAGTGCATCAAGCTCAAAGGCAACCGCACCGGCTCCTACGCAAGATGGCATAGCGCCAACCTGTAATAAATGGCATATAGGTGATGGATCCCCCTCATCAGTTGTTTTGCTTGGAGAATATGAAAACTAATCGTGCGTGTCTGTTCAGCTGGAGACGGTCTGTTTTGCTACGACATCTCAGTCAAGTATGGCATTACGCTAGAGCAATTTTTCGCATGGTAAATTGTTTTCCCCTTGATTTTAATCAACCCTGTGCTCAAATGTAAAATGCAGGAACCCAGCTGTGAGCACGGATTGTGGTACCGGATTCTGGGGTGGATATGCATATTGTGTTGGGCTTTCTTCGTGAGATATGGCAGTTAAGATGCATGAACATTGATGTGTTTTGTCTCGCACTTTCGATCTCAAATACTGTGGGAGGTAACTACCAATATCCCGATTAACCTCAAATCCCAAATTGAAAACTTCAATTACGGAAAATCAAAATGAATAGCATGAAACTTTGCTCAAAAATCTGCTTGCTTTCTGATATAAAGAAACTCGGAATGAACGACTTGAATCCACCGATGTCCATCTTGTAAATGCGGTTTCATTTGCCTCTCAACGCATCACCAGCTATTCCATCCCTTATCCCGAGCCTCTTCCCAAGCCTCCTCGCCCATATGTTCACGTGGAGCTCTATCCCACATTTCATACCCCATAGAGCCCACAGAACGCCCAGGTCCAGTTTCTCGGCCAAATCCTGGACTGCTATCATTGAGAGCTTCCACTTCAATATGTGTCTCTGGAAGTTCGCTGGGCTCCCTGGGGTCTCCTGGGTCTTTACTATATTTCTCATACTCCCCCTTTGAGAGTGGGTCGAACTCGACTCGTACCATTGTTTGATCTCCAGTCTGCCAATTGGCCTCGCTGCTTACGTAGATAAGGCTATGATAACGATGGGCTATCTTGTCGTAAATATAAGATGAGACCAATCCAGGCATCTTCGATACACCACTAATTTTGCCTGTACTATCTCTTACAACAGCATCAATTTGCACCTTGAAATCGCCTCGAGCATTTTTTTCTGCGCGATAATGCCGAATACAATCGTCCTGGGTGCCATTAGGAATGAAGTACAGGTCCAAACGAAAGACGACAGAATTTGTATTGTAGCGAGGACCTTGCGTGATTGTTTCGTATAGCTTTCTTGCGCTATCAGTATCGCCAGGGTCTGCTTCGGGGTGCGTGAAGTAGATGGAATAGCTGTAAAGGCGGGGTAAAGGATTGTCCTGTTCGCCGCGAAAGACCGTGAGAGCTGGATTTCCGGCATGATCTTGGAATGCGACGACGTGTGTTTTCCTGGTTCTAATTCTTGGTATACCTCGCTGGAATGCTGATGCCATTTTGTCTAGCTTCCATGCTTCATGTAACCATGGACACAATGGTCTAGTATGTTTGATGAATTTGAATTTCCGAGCTTTGGTCTCAAGCCGTTTAACAAAGGTTATTGAAGGGCGTTTTGCCATCGGCCCTGCTGACGGTGTAATGAATTGCCGACCTCCGACGTACATGTACTGTCAGGTCCAGCACACTCCGCTGATGATATGATCTGAAAGAAATCACGAGTATCTAGAGTGAACTACACACAGGCTTCGACGAGCTATTCATTGCGTCCATACCAATAGTAGACTGCGAGGGTGTATAAAGTCGGAACCCCAATCCATGGCAGAAAATCCGAAATTCACAGGAATTCATGCTTGCTCTATCCAAGGCTGTAGAATCTGCCGCTGTTCTAGGTATGCTTTTCAACCAGTCTGGGGTAAAGGACCTATCATCGCAAATACCTCTATTTTCGACCAGTCTCTGCGAAACAGAAGATCGATCCAAGAGAGTGACCTTGCCATGATAATTGTTGAACCAGCAGCTCCATACATAACTACGGTGCTGGTTTCATGTAGCAGGTCTAGTCAGCTCGAAGAAGTGAGTATCCAGCAGAGATTAAGTTCTCATCCGGTGCCAGAATTCCCACTATCACCGCGAGATCTCTCACCATATCATAATCATCGCCGGGGAATACTATAGCACCATATTTACTAGCTCTTAAGTACGGTCTGGCGAAGGAATCCAATAAGTAATAAGTACGTTCTTCCTCATATAATACTAGACCACGATAGATTGCAAAAGACTATAGACAGGCAACTCTGAATTTCCTTACTCCAGAATCTCTCTATACTTTGAAGCGTTGTAGATGATTGAACGGCAGCGGTACCTTACTTTATAAGTTCTTAGGCTGTAAGGGAATGAAACAATTCATATGTTTCCAAATTCAATTTGAGACTAAATCTCAATTCAATACTTTAAGTCTAGTACCCTACTTTCCAGCCACCCCCTAATTCCGGCTACCTTTTACACCAAAAATCGTAATTTTCATTTATTAATAACTTTACAATTAATGAATATAATTTGATATAATTTAAATCATAATTTTATTATATAATTATAAATCACTTTTGAAAATTTCAGATTTTTTAGAATTTATTTCATTGAGATCTATAACTTTAAACTTTTTGATTTTCGATTTATATGTTACGATGGTAACAACTGGTTAATTAGGAGAGCTTAGGCCTTGTGCAAAAGCGATCAGATTTCATCGAATTAATAACGTGTTTCATCACCCCGTGCACCATATCACCTCGTGCACCACTTTCACCTCAATTCCTATTTATAATCATATATAATTCAACAATTACTTGATCAATTGATTTAAATTAAGCACTATCTAATAATTTAGGATCTATATTATCATTAGAACATATTCTTGCATTATGACCTGTTATTCCATATTTACTACAGCATCGATTAGTCGATGCCTCTCTATTAGAATTCCGCCCATTTTGTTGCCTATCGCGTTTAATCTGAATATCCACCTCTTTTTGTAATATAATATCATTAGCCTCTTGAATAGTGAGAGCTCCTCCTAAACGTAATTGAGTCTTTTTAGCGCGTCGACGTTTACTTAATCCTGTATTTGCCAATCGAAGATCGTGATTCTCAAAAGCTAAAATCGTGACAATACTAGCTAGGTATTCTACATCTTTAATTAAAGGATCTGTAGCCTTAAATATAGGTGTAGGAGAGCTAGAATGATATTGAGCAATAATAGATCGTACTAAAAATGCTTGTGAAAGAGCTTCGATGGTATTGTGAGGTGTTTGTGAGACCCAATCGGGTATATGACTCAGAGGAAGCGAAGGAGGAGTAGGTGTACAGATTCAAATATCCATTCTAGAGAGTATAGCATCGAGATTAAAAAGGATTAATCTTGCTCCTCTAAAGCCTGTTTTCATATTCTCCATTGTAATTGCTTGTTTGTATGCAGTATTGAATGCTATAAAGAATTCGACTTTGGAGATATAATTGATATACATCCATATATACCCCTCAATTTGCTTGCTATATGTACGTTTTAGTACACTAAAACAATTAACATCAAGAGGTTGGGTGAGATGATTTGAATAAGGTAGTAATCCAACGGTTTTAATCTTATGTTCTATACAATAGTTCTGAAAAGGGCCTGATTCATAGCTTTCATATCCATCTAAGATTAGTATTCGATATACACCCTTCGTACGGAGTTTCGTATGCTTATCAAAATACTTTAGCCATTCTAAACCCGTCTCATTATTCGTCCATCCATTTATAGTAGTTTTAACCACCCATTCGGGAGGCATATCCGTCTCGCTGTACTAATTGGCTAGGTGCATTTATCCTTGAACGAGATATGGAGGTATGTTCTCCCTTGTCGCATTACCACATACAATCGCTGTCGACTATTCTCTATTGCCTGGCTGTATTCCTTTACTTTTGTCACGTCTATCTGCATTAGTAATAACCATACTAGAGGATATCACTCCCATCATAAAGCTTGTTTCATCAAAATTCCATATATCACACTTCTATATTCCATATTTTGCCTTTATATTTTTGAATAATTGAAACCACTTATTAATAAGTTTAGGATCCTTGTAGAAAGCCCTTTGGAAATCGTAGACATGATTAAAATGCGTTTTTAGAATATTGTATCGATTCACGAATCGATATGCCCATTGTTTACCAATACGCTTTCTACCCCTCGATTCAAGAATGTGATTCGCCATACTTTCAACACTTATGAATTTAGGATTAAATCCTCGCTCATCCATATCGATTATATGCTGAATAATAACCTCCTCTTCAATTTTAGTAATTTTATGCTGTTTTTGACGATATTCGGAGGCAGGAGTGATCCCTTTCATTCTACGCATGAGTGTCGTATGAGTAATATTGTAAATCTTGGCAGCTTTCCGGAGGCTTAAATTTTTATCTTTAGCCATTGCCTCCATCGCCATAACGATATCGCGTTCATTTAATGTCGATACCATAATTATTTATTGATAAATCGCGTATTGAAGTGATTGATGTGAATTGAGGTGAAAGTGGTGCACGAGGTGATATGGTGCACGGGGTGATGAAACACGTTATGTGATCTGGGTCACTTTATGTGACGCCTCACACCTCCGGGTCACGTGGTATGCCCCGTTTGTATTTAATCACAAGAAAACTCGCTACTCTTGTTTTCCTTCTTCCTTTCTCCTTAGCTTAGTATTTTCTAATACAAGATACTTTACCCAGTATTCTTGAGTGTGACACTTTAGGATCGTATACGCACGCACCGTCAGAAAACACGTGACTTGGAGCTTTTGGAGCTTAGGATCCAAAAGGATCTAAGGGAGCATGAAGATCTATATATTCAGTATGAATTTCTTTATTTGTAGAGCTTCGTGCTCAAGATCAATCATTTAGTATACTCTACTATTAGTTACGAATTGCATATCATTATTGTCATTACTTTAAGTCCCTGCTTGACGCCTAGTTATAAACTACCTCGAGAGCCTAGAGCACTTCCACGTGATCTAGACGGCAAACCTCGTAACATAGTTATGGGTTAAGGCTTTTATCACTGGTATTCACTTGGAAGTGAAGTCGTTACTAGATCAAGTAGAATGTAGGTAAACTAATTGATAACTAAGTTGAGCACGAAGCTCCTAAACTATGAAACTACTCTAACTATAACGTGGTTTATCATCGAGTGGCCCATATCATCGAGTGGCCCACTTTCACCTCAATTTACACCTGTCTCTTTCAACACGCGTTTTATCAACAACCTATAATGAATTCGAATAATCAAGAAGCTCGTATACTCCTTGCTATCGAAGTTATTCATAAAGATAAAAAATTAAGCATTCGAAAGGCTGCTATGCTCTATAATATTCCTCGTACGACTCTTCGACATAGAATGGAAGGTTTACCTCTTCGTACAGAAACTCGAGCGAATCGTCATAAGATTACAGAATTAGAAGAAGAGGTGATTGTTCAATATATACTCGATATGGATTTAAGAGGATTTCCACCTAAACTAAAGAATGTGGAAGATATGGCGAATGATATTCTCGAATCGAGGGGTGCGAAACGCGTTGGGAAGCTCTGGGCGCATCGATTCGTAAAGCGTCGAATCGAATTAAAGACGCGTTTTAGTCGTGTTTATGACTTTCAAAGAGCTCTCTGTGAGGATCCTAAGCTTCTTGAAGAGTGGTTTCGACTAGTTGCGAATATGCGAGCGAAATACGGCATTTTGGACGGAGATTTCTACAACTTCGACGAAACAGGCTTTATGATGGGGATTATATGTGCAGCAATGGTAGTAACTAGTGCTGAACGAAATGGCAGAAGCAAGACAGTACAGCCAGGCAATCGAGAATGGGCTACAGCAATAATATGCGGAAATGGAGAGGGTGAAACTATTCCCCCATTTCTAGTAGTTCAAGGACAAGTTCATCTCTCCAATTGGTACACCGAAACGAATCTTCCTGCGGAATGGGCTATTAAACCTACATCTAATGGGTGGACGAATAATGAGACGGGTTTAGAATGGTTGAAACACTTCGACAAGCATACTAAGAATCGAAGAAAGGGCAAATATCGAATGTTGGTACTGGATGGGCATGAAAGCCACGAATCAGTAGCTTTTCAAGCATACTGCAAAGAGAACGATATTATATGTTTACGTTTACCACCGCATTCAAGTCATTTAACTCAACCACTTGATGTTGGCTGTTTTAGCAATCTAAAACGTTCATATGGTGGTCAAATTGATGGATTTATCAAGGCACATATCAATCATATTTCGAAGGTTGAATTCTTTATAGCTTTTAAAGCTGCATACGAGGAATCAATCACTTCTCAGAATATGAAATCAGGATTCCGAGGAACAGGTTTAATCCCATTTAATCCTGAAGCTGTACTCTCGAAATTAGATATTCGAATTCGCACACCTACCCCCCCCTCTTTCGACCTAGATCAATGGATCTCTCAAACCCCTCGCAACCCAACTGAAGCTCTTTCTCAATCAACATTAGTTAAATCTCGAATAACTCGTCATCAAGCAAGCTCTCCTACACCTATATTCGAGACTGTACTAGCTCTAGCTAAGGGTACAGAGAGATTAGCTCATGAAAACACACTTTTAAATACAGAGATTCGTACACTTCGGACAGCAAATGAAGCATTAAGCAAGCGTCGACGCGCGAAAAAAACCCAATTACGTCAAGGAGGAGTGCTCACTGGACAAGAGGCTCTTGATATATTATCTCAGCAAGAGGTTGATATTCAGATTCAACGCGATGAGCGTCAAAAAGGGGGGAATTCTAATGGGGAAGCATCTTCTAATCGATGTTGTAGTAAATGCGGAAAGACAGGACATAATGCAAGAACCTGTCAAAATAATGTAATAGATCCTAGATTATTAGATTCTTAATAGTTTCAATCAATTGATTCAATTGTTGTTGAATAATATGGGTTTGAAAGTGTAAATTGAGGTGAAAGTGGGCCACTCGATGATATGGGCCACTCGATGATAAACCACGTTATACTAAACGTTTTCTCTGAATGCTAGCTGTGCTAGCCAGCTAGCACAGCTAGCACATCACGTGATCTCCTATTGGCCTCAGGACACTAATCCTGGGACGATTCTCATCCTAGGATAATACTAGACGTGGTTCGTGACAGGTACTAGACTTATGTCAAGCAAGACATTGAATGTTCATTGATTCCAACCATCACTTGCGGTTGTACTCCCCAAGAAACGAATTCGCAAAATTCGGGGTATCCTTTGAAGAGCAATTCAATTGACTAAGTGAACCTTAAACAATACAAATTGCTAAAATACTCCTAGATAAGTGCAGTGTTGTGGTGATGGTGAATTTTTCGCGATATAGAGTTTTGCTGCTTTGATAGGCCAAGATTAAAGATTCGACACGCCAGCTCACCGGGCGAACAAAAACTTTGATTTTTCACCAACGAGAAATTTGGATAAAAATGGCATGTATATATATCTTCTCTTTGGGTGTGACTTTAAAAAGACATGCGAGGCGACTCTTTTTTTTTACCTAGGTAACCGCAAATGCATAGCTAATGACTACTTTATTATTCATTATCATGAAATTTCATATTCACAAGCCAACAACTAACTTCATGAACTTTTGTAACGTAATTTCACCATTATTTATTTGCTCAATGCTCGGTGATCCATAGCCCCGCCCCGCCTGGAGATAAATGGTTTACTCTAAGCCTCCAAGTCCACTTTTGCCCGGGAGATAAATTGACCATTCGGACTTTGAAGGCCTTGAAAAGTTTAAATCGTTCCGGTTCCTGAATTATGCACGGAGCGGTGAATGTTCTATGCTTGTTGCTTTTAATCCGTGTATTACTAATCTGATAAGTCTTCGCTGTTCAGATGATAATAATCCTCTAAAAGACATGAACACTCGTGAGTCGTGAGAACGAAGGAAAGATGTAAGGTACCAGGAAAAGAAAGACATATTACCCTGATCTCCTCCTTCCTATCTCTCTTCATTTACTGCGTACATGATCAGCAGATATTTATTAGTGATATCATAAAATCCTCGGACTGAAAAAAATAACAACAAGCTGTCTAGTGAATAGTAAATCATCGCTAAGCTTCAAAAGGCAGGTCGTAATGCAAAATCTAGGCGAGTGGTCAAGCTAAGAGCCCGGAAGCGATATCTTGAATATCTCCAAGACTCCAAGTCTATCAAAAACGGGGAACAATAAACTAATGCCTCAATTCACCCACCTCGTACCTTTTTGCTCCATGTCTTTTCACGTTGTATCTATTACATGATAGGCTCAGACAGACTGAGTAAGTTTATATAATCGCAAGGTACGGTGAAAGGATGGGTACCTATCAAGACCCATGAATTCCACTAGGATACATCGTCATAACCACGGGAACTGACATGAGAAGAGAGACAATCCAATACATAGCTCGAAGATGTCGTTACTATGAGTACCTGTTAAAAGATTTAAAAGCTCTCCAAGCCCAGCTCACTGGACCTTTTTGTTTTTCTTACCAACCCACTTGTCATTTTTCATACGATCCGAGTTTGGTTACTTGAGTGATCAGTCAAGATGCGTTTCTCAACCGTGGTTTCGACGCTTGCAATTGCAGGTGGGATTGCAGATGCTACTTTTCCTTCTGGAAGAAGCTTACAGCATGTTGGAAAGAAGGATAAGCATGTGCATAAAGCCAGACAGCCGATTGCTAGGAAACCACAGCAATATGAGAAGAGGGATGCTAATAAGTTTCCTTATTTGACCAATTCTACTGCTAGTAAGTTTTACTTTTCAATTGGTTATAAAGGAAAATTACTAATTGTTTACTTATAGAATTCAGTGTGAATGGTACCGCAATCCCAGATGTCGATTTCGACGCTGGTGAATCATATGCTGGTTTATTGCCAATTTCGAAAGATGCAGATGAATCTAGACAATTGTATTTTTGGTTCTACCCTTCAACAAATGAATTAGCTTCTGATGAAATTCTCATCTGGCTCAATGGAGGTGTAAGTGACAGTACCACAACCAACTACCACTGAACTTTGAACTAATCATTCAATTAGCCCGGATGTTCATCCCTCGAAGGAATTATTCAAGAAAACGGACCGTGGATCTGGCAATACGGAACCTACAAACCTGTTCCAAACCCCTGGACTTGGGTCAACCTTACCAACGTTGTTTGGGTCGAACAACCCGTCGGCACTGGATTTTCTCAGGGAGTTCCTACTGCTACTAGCGAGGAAGATGTCGCGGCACAGTTCCTCGGATTCTGGGAGAATTTCGTCGATACTTTCGCTTTGCAAGGGCGAAAGGTCTATATCACTGGTGAATCTTATGCCGGTTACTATGTTCCGTATATTGCCGATGCCATGTTTAATAAGAATGATACATCTACTGTAAGTAATCGATACATTGGACAGGAGATGTGCATTTGAGCTAATGACCATCAAAGTATTACAACCTCGAGGCAACCATGATTTACGACCCCTCCACCTCCTACAATGCCATCCAAGAACAAATCCCTGCCGTCCAATTCGTTGATTACTGGGGTGGTCTTTTCCCCTTCAACGATACTTTCAAAGAGCAAATCCACAACGTATCTGATTCCTGCGGTTACACGGATTTCCTCTCCAAATACCTCACCTACCCACCTCCAGGACCCCTCCCGTCCATCCTCCCCGGCACGAGCGAAGATGGAATTTCCACCACCGACGAATGCGACGTCTTCGACCTAATCTACAACGAAATCTTCAGCCTCAACCCCTGCTGGGACATCTACCAAGTCGCCACCACCTGTCCGCAACTCTGGGACGTTCTCGGATTTCCCGGTTCCAACCCCTACCTCCCCGAAGGTGCCTCCATCTACTTCAACCGCACCGATGTACAAAAAGCCATTAACGCCCCCACAATGGAATGGGAATCCTGCTCCAACATCGACGTCTTCGTAAACGGAACCGACAACTCTGACCCCTCCGGACTCTCTGTCCTCCCCTCCGTCATCGAACGCTCAAAACGTACCATCATCGGTCACGGCGCCTTAGACATGGTCCTCATCGCCAACGGCACCCTACTCATGATCCAAAACATGACCTGGAACGGCGCCCAAGGATTCCAAAGTAAACCCACCGAGCCCTTCTACGTACCCTACCACGAAGACCTCTCCGCCTCCACACTTACCGGATCCGGAATCATGGGAACCACACACACGGAGAGAAATCTCACATTTGTATATGTAGATTTGAGCGGTCATATGGTTCCGCAATATGCGCCTAGTGCTTCGTATCGCACGGTGGAGTATCTGTTGGGAAGAATCGATAGTCTTTCTAGCACGGTGCCGTTTACCACGCAAGAATACGTGGCGCAGAGTGATGCGCCCATGGGTAATGGAACTGCGCCACCCATTAAGAGACATCTTGGGAGTATGGAATTTTAGGGGTGAGATGAAAATATAAATATGAGTGGACTTTGACTTTCCTGAGAGGAAGGTATTTGTTAGATGAGGAGGAAAATGGAGTGAGATGATAATGATATGTATGATGATAAAATGAACATATGATACTACCTATCTAAATACTTGAATTAAAGCTAGTGACTTTTTGTGATGTGAGTTCGTTGTGGGTAAAAAACTTGAGGTGGAGCTCATTGGAAATTGTAAAAATTAAGATATTGCTTGAGTTTATTCCGGTGGTATTTTGTTTAGATATCCCTAATTAGTCTGCCTCCACGGCAGTGGCCTCCCGGGAGGGCCAGCGGAGCGTCATTTGCTCAATTGATTCAGCATTGCTTATATTGGTGAGCCGCTAGGATATTCAATCAATAATCACATAATGAGCTCAACAGGAGTACAAAATTTCGCTGAAAATTGATGAAAAAGTTCAATGTGTCATGCATGTCAGAATCTCGTTCTCATCTCACGCACCACGATACCAGCATGTGAAAAAGTGATCTTACGTATAAAATAAACCTGTTCAAAATTTGATGCATTACATTTCCATACAATGTGATAGAATCAAATGAGAGTGGACTGCCACAAGAACGCCTATACTTCATCCCCCAAACTCCTTCGCTCCCGATTGTTTTCATTTGTGCTTTAATACAAAGGCCCGCCACCCAACGAAAGTGTAGGACAATAAGGTACGTGAAAGAGCGTTTCCTCATCACTTATCTCGTCGTTGCTTTCTTGCAGTATCTGGATGCATATTCATCCACCTCCTAATGGTATCCTCATGTGCAGCCATCATTTCTCATATTTAATCTTTCAAAATTCATCGCTCCATACCCGCAAACATCAATTCCCTATCCCTTCTCATCCCATCCAACACTGCCACCAAACCCCCATTCCTCATTCTCTCCAATACAACCATCATTCCCTCCTTACTCTTTCCCAATTGATTTTCTGTCTTCCTACTAGCGATCGCCTCAATACTTCTCTGCACTCCCTTCGTACTCCAATTCGCCAACCACCCTTTCTTCTCCTCCTCCCCCTCCTCTCCCTTCCTCATCGCCCTCAATCGATCCCCAAGCCGACTTCGAAACATAACTTGGGTCCTCACCCCAGTCATTCCCGGCCCAACACTAAACTCCTCCTCTTTATCTTCCTTCCCAGGTGTCCTCTGAAAACTTTGTTTCTCCACCACACTTAAAATACCCGTCCAATCCAAATTCCTACTCTCCGTCTTCATCCACCCTTCTTTAATATCCACTTCTGATGTCTCCAAAATGTATGACTCGCTTCTATCGCTTCTCACATTACCCAGTACACTTTTAGGTAGGAGCTTGAGAACTGCCGATGGTAGACGAGTGGATTTGCGATGGATGCGCAGGGTTCGTAGACGCCCTGTTTCGGGGCATACGGTGCGCGATATCACATCGGTGGAGAGCACATGTGTGCTATGTGGATTTGGGTAACGAAGAAAGTAGGCGAGGGTAACGGCAGGAAAAGAGTAATCGTAGGAGAAGGAGGATTCGTAGAATTTGACCATGGTGACAAATTTATTTGTAGAATTGATTAGATGTGATGTTTAGTTGTTCTTGGTATACATGTAGTTTCTGTGATGGTACAAAGGGTGCAGAGGAATTAAGGGAAGAAAATGAATGAGGGGGAGAAGAAAATCGGATGAGGAATCGAATGCTGGTGGTATGATTGTTGATCTTGGATGGTGCGGATTGGAGCTTCTGGAGGGATTTGTTCGCCTGATTGTTTTCCCCGGATTTGCGATTTTTTGGGTTTAGTGTAATGGAGTTGGCCGAATTATTTATTGTGATTTGTTGTACGGAATAGAGATGATTTGATGACTTTGAACTATGAACCAGATAATGTTGAGATTGGGATGAGTATCTTGAGGATATATAACTCGAGAGATGCATAAAAGCTACTACTAAACCCCGCAGCTCCTAATGTTCAAGCCCATCGACGTCAGTCGTCAGCTAAAACAAAGCAATCCTAATTGGAGATCTTGGTCACGTGACTTTACTCTCAAACTTCACCGCTCTACAAGAATGGATGGGTTATATGGCAATAATTCCCCTCCATGAGTCAATAAAGAACAAATAGCCCCTCCTCCGAATCAAAATATTGACTGACTCCCCAGTCCTCACCACCATGACCGACGCGGAACCCACACTCGCCGCCACTTTGGCAACCGATGCTCCTGCCAGCAAACAAACCGTTGATCCCTATAATGTCGCTGGAGAAATTGGCGCAGACGGAATCGCGAAGGCTATCAATTACTTGACTTTGATCGATGAATTTGGTACCAAGAAGATTGAGGAGGCAGATTTAAAAAGATTTGAAGAAGTGACCGGTCATAAACCCCATCGATTCATGAGGAGGGGTATTGTGTTTAGTCATCGCGATTTAAACCTTATGCTAGATCGTCATGAGAAGGGAGAGCCATTTTTCTTGTATACGGGACGGGGTCCAAGTAGTGATAGTATGCATATTGGACATACTGTTCCTTTTGAGTTTACCAAGTAAGTTCTGAGGTTTTGAATAGGTTCAGTTTCGCACAATCTGCGGATATTGGGAGCATGCCGCAGACAGAACCTACAATTTGTCCGCACCATACTAATGACTCATTCATAGATGGTTACAAGATGTCTTCGATGTCCCATTGATCATCATGCTTACGGATGATGAGAAGTATATCTTTTCAGAAAAACGTACAATTGAGGAAGTTCAAAGCTACACCAATAGTAATGCGAAAGATATCATTGCCGTCGGATTCGACCCTAAAAAGACATTTATGTTTAGCGATTATGATTACATGGGAGGAGCATTCTACAAAAACGTTACTCGAATCTCCAAGCACGTTACATTGAATGTTGCACGAGCTGTTTTTGGTTTCAATGAAAGGTAAGATATTCTGGTACAAGAGACTACATACATTATTGACAATCCCAGTTCATGCATAGGCAAAATCCATTTCGGAGCTGTCCAAGGTGCAACGTCGTTCGCCAACTCCTTCCCTCATATCTTCGGCACAGACGAATCTAAAACCACTCAAATTCCCTCCCTAATTCCATGTGCAATTGATCAAGATCCATATTTCCGTATGACACGCGACGTAGCCGCACGTCTTCATTTCGCCAAACCAGCTCTCATACACGCTCGTTTCCTCGACGCTCTTCAAGGCCCTGGTTCTAAAATGAGCGCATCAGTTGATACATCTGCAATCTTCATGTACGATGAACCAAACAAGATTAAAAATAAAATCAACAAATATGCATTTAGTGGTGGGCAAGTTACCGAGCAAGAACAAAGAGAAAAAGGAGGTGACACGGAAAAGGATGTCGCATATCAATATTTAACATTTTTCTTAGAAGACGACGAGGAATTAGAAAGTATTAAGAAGGCATATAGATCGGGAGAATTGCTGACGGGAGAATTAAAAGCAAGATGTATTAAAGAATTACAAATATATGTAAAGGAATTTCAAGAGAGAAGAGCAAAGGTTACAGATGAGATTGTAGCGGATTTTTTTGCAAAGAAAGATTTAATTTGGGGTGGAAACCCAAATGCTAGGAATGTTACTCCTGCTGCTGGAACAACTGGAGAAGGAAGTGCAGAGGGAAGTGGAGAGGGTACGGGGAAGTTGACGAAGAATCAAGAGAAGAAATTGGCTAAGTTGAAGGCAATTGAGGAGAAAAAAAAGGCGGCTGCTGCTGAGGCGGCTGCTAAAGCTGCTGGTGGTGCATAGGTTGGATATAGGTGTGATGGGTGGTGGGTTGTGAAGATAAAGAAAGAGGGAGGAGAGGAAGGAGATCAACAGAGATACCATGAAATACAACATTACATATGACGCGAGCTACTAGTATATAATGCAATGCGATGCAATCAATACTAAATCTAGACTTTCTGCTTTTTATATTGATTTTGGTCAAGATTAAGATTGCATACAATATAATACACCCAATGACAGTAAGTGAAACGGAAGAACGTAAATTTTTAGTTTTATAAGAGGCAAAGTTGTGAATATACACAGTAGATGTTTTAGATCATTAGAGTAATCCTCTGTACCTAGGAAAGTATCTATATCATATCATATTCAAATATACTATCCTGATTCTTGATATATCCCCTTTGAAAATAAACTCTCCTAAATATAATTATCCTACTATTATATCTTAACGAACTGGTTATAATATCATAATTATCATATCATATTATCCTCCTACACTATACAAATTTATAAAATCATATCATGTTATGTTATATCTATAAATAACCCTATCCCATTCCGTCTACTCTATCCTCATATAAAATCTTTATGCCATATACAATATTCACTTCTTTTTCCTCTGCTAATACTGGTATTATTTCCTGGGAATTTGTTTCCCACTATTCCGTCCTACTACTCCTACCACTCTCTATGACTTTCCTCCTAGCACTCCATCCCTCTCCTCCCTCGGTCTAAGAACACTTAAAAATAGAAAATCAAACAAAGTCATTTCAACTCAATTCACCCTACCTCAGCTCAACCTAACCAGTGACTTCATTTCCTATTATTCCCTTCTCTTTCCTACCATATTATATCCTCTCACATCATATCATACCATTCCCCTACACTTCAAATCAATCCATTCAATCCCTTCAATTCGTTCAGTCATTTATAACATCATCATTCATTTGCTGTATATCCATATCCATATCCATATCCAACATATTAAGCAAAAAACGACAAATGAACGAACGAACTTCCTGAGAGTTAAAACTAGAACTTGGATTGTCTATCTATCTATCTACTCGGATACCTGTATGTACGCATACTCTTACTTTTACTTTTGCTAGCGAGGGATGTTTATATGCATACCCTTCTTCATTATATGCATTATTATAGTATTACTGTTATAGTACTACTAGTAGCATCAGCAGCAGCAGGAGCAGGATCCGTATCAACTGATAAATCAAAACCCATTCCATTACTTCATTTCTTCACTTGAACTTTATTTAAACTCCAAACTCCCAACTCCCAAAACCCAAACCCCAAACTCTGACTCCAAGAACCATGATTCATATCCTCTTTATTTCTCCATATCCTCTCCCTACTACACCCCATTTTCCCCATATGTCCTTATATTCTATATTCCGAATAATATTTCCTAGGTAATTACACCTTACTTATTATTCAAATATCCAAATATTCCACCATTCTAACTCCAAACCCACCCACTCACCCACGAATCACAAATAGCTTCCTCACCCTCCTCATCACCATAACTAACCAAGTAATCTCACAACCAAAATCACAAACCCAAATCACAGAATCACAAATTCAAATTCACAAATCACAATCACGCCAGTTTTTTCCTCTCTTTTTTTCCTCTTCCACTTTTACACTTTTTTTTTTTGAATCAGAGAATAAGATTTTTAAGGAAGATAATCAGAACAAGCGAATGACTTGTCCTCATACCTGTATTTGTATTTGTATATAAGAAAGAAGAATAAAAAACCAAGTCCAAAAATCTATAAATCCAAAACCTCATAAATCCATAAATCTACAAATCTGTGAATAATTATTTTATTATTTTCTATCCTCAAAATCCATATTTCCTATCCTCAAAATCAAAATTCTATATTTAGCATTCAAAACTCCAGACTCCAGACTCCCAAATTTCAGACCCCCTCCCCCTCGTACGACACGAGTGACTCGAATGACTCGAAGTGGTATTTATTTATCTATGACTGGATTTATTTATTCATATATTCATTTAATTTTTTATATTCATATGTACACTCATACATATACTCATATATAAATACGTATGTAAAACGAAGGAGTTACTCGCAACGACCTTTCGGATTCGAATCATCTATTCTTTTGGTACTTTGTTGGAATTATAAATTTTTATTTATCTACCCACCCATCCATCTATTCATCTTCCCAACTACTCCATGCAAAGATCTAACCAGATCTGACCAGATCTAACCTCAACTTAACTGAGCTGGCTCGGCGATTCCTTTCCTTTCCTTTCTCAGGACTTCATCACCCAGCTGGACTTTGTAAGACTGCGACGACGGAGAAACTTGTGTTGTGGTAAAGTAAGATCTTACCATACTGCTTTAGTTCAAACACTTGTTCTTTAAATACTACTGTATAAGGTAGTGAAGAGCAGTAATCATGGGGAGAACTATCAAAGCAAGGATGGGGCCTAGGCCATGGGTTGCACATACAAAATCAGTGAGCTATGAAAGGAGACCTATGGGCAATGATAGAAGCCCTGTAGGCGATAGGAGAAAGCCCATGGGCTACCAAAAGCACCCCAAGCCTTGTTTGAAAGTTGATAAGTAAGATTCCACGTTCCTTTCTTATTCCTGGTCTTTCTCATCCTTTTGATTGTCTTTAAGTACAAGGATGTATCACTTGATACCTCGACTCATGTGCATGGACTAACATATAGCAATTAGATGCGATGTAACTCTCCTTATTATCCTCCTCCGTCATCGTTTCACACCTCCAGTACCATACATAATTATTACCGATATCATTAGCATGTCACCGGATTCCTGCCATGATCTGTGCCAGAAGAACTGCACATTGGAAGGTTTGGATAAAGAAAAACAATATTATTGGTTCACTTGGTGGTGTAAGGAAATTGAAAAGAACGAAATAATGAAGGGTGGTGGGAGATGGGTAGCTGCTGTTAGTAAGTATTTACGAACCTGAAAATTTGTGGTTATTGTTTATACATTACATAAGCTGATTTTATGGAATTTAGATTAGGAGAGTGAAAGGATTCCAGGACTTCGTGATAACCTTCGAAGTCAATTGGGAGGTCGTGGCCTAGCATTTGGAAATTGTAGACCAAGGAGGTGTTGATAGATTGAAATGGCAAGTTGGGCAGAAAAAGCAATTTATTAAGCAGAACAGGGCTTTGAAAGAAAAAGAAGGGTTCATTTCGAGCCGAGGAGGATAAAACTACGTTGCAGGCGGACTGGTACCACAAGAATGATTGTAAGTATAACCTCGAGATGAAGATGATATGAACTGACGAACATTGATGTAGGGGAGTACAATAGTGTACCAGATCTCTACCATTCTCCAACCCTTAAGGCTGGTAGTCCGGACAGGATTATCCCGTTCCAATGACCTTTCTCCAGGCCCTCCC